GGGGGGGGGATAATGATTACTCAGTGTCAGGGATTAAATGAGGGTATCAAATTGTAAGAGAAAATCTAAGGTAGGGTATACAAAAACGAAAACTATACAAAGAACAAGATCAAGAAATATAACAACAACAAGAACAACAAAGATCAAGATCAAGAATGTTTACAAAAACAAGAACTACACAGATTAAGAAAGCTAAGAAGAACAAGAACAAAGAGCAAAAAACCTAACAAGATCAAGAAAACTAACAAAAGGAAGAACAAGAACAAGAACAAGAACAAGAACAAGAACAAGAACAGGAACAAGAACAAGAACAATAACAAGAACAACAACAAGAACAAGAACAAGAACAAGCGATTAAATAAATCAATTTAAAAGAAAAAAGAAACAAGAAAACAAAAGATGAAGCATGAGAAAAATGGAAGCAACAAGAACAGTAAAAGTCCGAAAATCTTTTTTAAAAACAAGAAAAAATTAGAAAGAAAAACTTGAGGAAAAATATTGAATGAATGTGATGATGTATCTATATTTGTTGCTACAGGGCCCTACAGGAGTAAACAAGAAAGCATTCCTTTGTTCAAAACAAAGAGTTTCTGCTTCGTTTCTTGCAAGAAGATACCTCACAACAATGACCGGAGAGCGTGGTCACAGTAATGGCGCCATTTCCGGTTTGGGGCACGTGTTTCCGGTTCAAATCTTCAAATGACATTATTACTTGTTGTAAATTTAGTAGATTTGGGTAAACATTGGTTTACAAGTTGTAGAACCTCAAATTGTAAATGTACGCCTTTAAGAACATCTTTATTAGTTTCCTAACAAGATAATTGAGAATGCTGTACAAACCAAACAAACAAGTTCATGATTATTAAGAGACGCAACTTTTATACTGTTTTTAATATTTATCTAATAAAAGTGAGGAACAGATGGAAACCTCATAAATCGTGCAATTTTATGATTTGACACATTTTTATCAAAAATCAAAAGCAAAGTGAGATCTTGAAAACATCTATAAAATAATTTTATATTTAGTGGGTTATCCTGATTTTTCTATAATCTAATATTTTATTCGCATGCTAATCCATTTCATTCTAATTTTTTTAAAATCTAATCCATTATTAGCACAAAAATTCCTTGGTTTGACCAACAGTGGCAGAATTTGCAAGAGTATCGTTAATAGTTCAGGGTTCTGCTCAATCTTAATTAGAGATTTCTGATGTAATGATAATATAATTTAAAAATATCATAAAAAATTTGAAAATTTGAAATCTGATCTCGTGTGTTTTGATCAGACATTTGAAGATATTTTCATTATGTAAGGCACAGTTGTGAATCTTTACCTGTCATTGCATGTTTTAGCAATATTTAGTCTAAATTTTAGTTAAATTTTTCTTATGCTCGTGAGGTTTAGAACCCCAAAAAGGTCTTGGAGGCCTTCGGCTAATTGGTTTTCCCCTAAATTTAATTATCCTCCCTTAATCTCCCGGTTAAGTAGTAATTAATAGTTATAATAAAGTCAAGTTAAACACTTTGCCTAATGATAGTCCATTGAAACTGGAAACCTATAAAAAGCCCACACCTGTTTTTAGAACAGCACATTATTAAAATTTTGCAATTATTACGAATCAAAAACAATATAAAACCGGAAGCTATTAAATTGATACCATATGCTTGAGTACACATCGGTAAACTCTGAACATCCAACCTAGAAATAGAGATAGGCAGTGTTTTCATGCATTTAAGCTTTTTGCTGTTATAAGTAGCTCCACAAGATTGTATAAACGATTGCCTTTCATACATTATGCTAATAGCAAACATATTTTTGGTAAAACTTGATACAGCAACCATATTGTTGGTTAGACTTGATACAGCAACCATATTTTTGGTAAAACTTGATACAGCAACCATATTTTTGGTAAAACTTGATACAGCAACCATATTCTTGGTAGAACTTGATACAGCAACCACATTTTTGGTAAAACTTGATACAGAGACCATATTGTTGGTAGAACTTGATACAGCAACCATATTTTTGGTAAAACTTGATACAGCAACCATATTGTTGGTTAGACTTGATACAGCAACCATATTTTTGGTAAAACTTGATACAGCAACCATATTGTTGGTAGAAGTTGATACAAAAACCATATTGTAGGTAGAACTTGATACAGCAACCATATTTTTGGTAGAACTTGATACAGCAACCATATTTTTGGTAAAACTTGATACAGCAACCATATTGTTGGTTAGACTTGATACAGCAACCATATTTTTGGTAAAACTTGATACAGCAACCATATTGTTGGTAAAACTTGATACAGCAACCATATTGTTGGTAGAACTTGATACAGCAACCATATTGTAGGTAGAACTTGATACAGCAACCATATTGTTGGTAGAAGTTGATACAAAAACCATATTGTAGGTAGAACTTGATACAGCAACCATATTGTTGGTAGAACTTGATACAGCAACCATATTGTTGGTAGAACTTGATACAGCAACCATATTTTTGGTAGAACTTGATACAGCAACCATATTGTTGGTAGAACTTGATACAGCAACCATATTGTAGGTAGAACTTGATACAGCAACCACATTGTTGGTAGAACTTGATACAGCAACCATATTGTTGGTTGAACTTGATACAGCAACCATATTGTTGGTTTCCATGACACCTCACAATATCCAGTAATGTTCTCATGATCACAAATTAGACAAGGAAGACAAGGCCGGAATTAGATGTCAACAATATTAATGTATCTGCAGCTGACACCAAGCACCGCCATCTGACATATCTTCACAAATGCGGGAAATCAACCTTCCATAAAATCCATTAATTTCTATAATTATCGTTGCTGACATTTGGATCCTACGATTATTATTTGTGCTGAAAAAAACTTAATGGTAGAAATACTAAATATAAGAGGTTTCCATGCAAAAACCGGGACAATTAAGATAAAATTTATTATATATATTAATCAATAATATTAAACTACAATGAGACCCATAGTCCAGTAAAATAGGAAGACGACTTTGAACACAGGTTATGCTTTAATCAGTCTAGTGAACATGAAATACAATTGTGCAGTGCACACAGACCATATGCACAAAATATGTTGATTTTCAAGCTTAATGTAAACTAAGGGTGGACAATTTGACACTTTTTTGATAAACAGCACGTGTTTTAAAAGTTTCTATAATAAAAAAGCAAGTTTTTTCTCATTTGCATCACGTTTCTGTAAATAATAAATCGCTAGTGCAAGGAAAAATATTTTTTTCAAAACATGTCGATGTGGAAAACATGTCGATGTGAAAAACATGTCGATGTGGAAAACATGTCGATGTGGAAAACATGTCGATGCGAAAAACATGTCGATGTGGAAAACATGTCGATGTGAAAAACATGTCGATGTGGAAAACATGTCGATGTGGAAAAAAATCCGTCTTGAAACACTCAATTCAAAATTGTTAAAAATCGGTTAAAAATTAAATAAGTCAAAGGCAAAAAACGGACTTGTTAGCGGAAATTTTCAAAAGTCCTCAAAAAATAATAGTTTTTTTTGCCCTAGATCAACCAATTTTCACAATTTCAAAAAAAACTGGGCAATATTCAGTGGATAGAGGTGCAACTTTAAACACCCATATCGACATGTTTCGAAAAATTGAAAAATCGACCTCCATTAGTAATTGTTGATTTTTACAAGTGCTTGCACTGACCCTTTTTTTAAATCAAACATTTAATTTCATTGGGTTTTTTTGTAAGTTTAATTGAACAATTTTTGCAGCGTGTTGGTAATTTTTGAAAAAAATTCATATTGTCCGAGGGTTAGCTTTAAAACAACATCTACTGAAAAAGATTGCTTAAATGTCGTCTTTCTATTCCATAGTTATAAGAGTCTCGCTGTAGATAAACATATTCCTTATTATTTTAAAAGCCTTTAACAATTCTGATTTTAAAATTAAAGCCATACAAATTTGTTTACGAATTAAACTTTCAATAAGAGTATGATTATTTTGATTATCTACCCACCTTATTAAAAGCAGTCATATTTAATATGACGGCCGTAACAGTCTGAAAATTTAGTTTTATCATTACTGATGTAGGAACTGTAGTCTGTAACAGTTTGTTCAAAATGTTTCGAAGTTGCGAGATTTTATCTTGCACTTCACATTTAGAAGGTTTGTATGGCCAGTATGGGTTCTCATATGAGTATTCAAGTTAGAACTTTGAGTAAACCTTTCATCAAACATATCACATTTGTAAGGTTTCTCCCCGGTGTGAAATCTCAGATGTGAGTGTAAATGATCTCTTTGACTAAACATTTTAGCACAAACATTAAATTTGAATGGGGTCTCTCCAGTATGGGTTCTCAAGTGCGAAGTAAAAATGCCTTTAGATGTAAACATTGTGTCGCAAACTTCACATTTGAATGGTTTCTCACCAGTGTGGGTTCTCATATGTTTTCTTTAATGAATCTTTTATCACATACTTCACATTAAAATTGTTTCTCTTTATTATGGACTTTAACATGTGTGTTCAAATGGGGGAGTTAAAACAACATTGTGTCACAAATTTCACATTAGAATGGTTTCTCCGGTATGGATTCTCATGTGTGTTCTCAATCTAGAATCTGAAGGGAATTTTATTTCACACACAGCACAATTAAAAGCTTTCTCTCTAGTATGTGTTCTATTATGAATTTAGAGATCATAACTATTAATTATTATTTGTTTTTCACAAATAAGACAAGTTTATTCACGTTTAGTTGGTTTCTCTTTACTATGAGATCTCACGTGAATAGCTAAATTGCCTTTCTTTAAAAACGTTTATCACACACATCACATTTAAATGGTTTCTTTAAAGGAAAAAAATCGATTTTCTATTTTAGAAATTTATCAATTCTAACAGAAAAATTATGAAGAAAAATACCCACTTAAAGGGACAGTAAAGGAAAAATGAAAGGGGGTATAGGCTGAAAGCTAATCACTTTAGATCTTCATCGCGACCCATGAAAGTTATATCTGATGCTCCTATCTCGAGAAATTGATATAAAACTGTGTCAAATATATACGAAAATTAATATATATACAATTTTGAAAAAAAGTAGTGGGTTTAAACAGATCATATTCAGCAAATAAGCAACCAATCTGAAAACGATGATATCCCAGAGAAAGCTAATTGTAAATTAGGTTTACTTTTAAGCGAGAAGCTCCCTGAAAGCCTAATTTTTGGTAGAACTGTTTTTTCTAAAATTGTGGTTTTTTTTATTGATTGAAATGTCTTCTCATTGATGGAATATTCGAATAATTATGTTAATTTATAATTAAATTAATTGAATGATGAATTCATGATTTGTTAGAAAATATCCAGTATAAATGATAAATACCTAGATGAGTATATTGAGTACATAAGTACACAAGTACATGAGTACATAATGTAAGTGAATTATAAGAATGTAACTAATCAAATTAAAACATTTACTTAAAAGAAAATACTCAGTGAATTCAATAGATATCATGCTAAGACACAGATTTCAGTTTGTTAGAACAGAAGTCCAATTATTTACAATACTGGGCTTTCAGGGCGCTTCGTGCCTTTCTTCTATTTCAATTGTGAACATGTTCTCTTTGTCTACATTGTAAAAAAAAACTAAAAAAATTTCGTGGATTTTGAAATTTTTTTAAAAAATCGAATTTTGTTAGGAAAATTTTTGAAAATTCGATCAACCATAAATCTTCCCTAGGTCACGCGAGGTCCCACAAAAAATAGGACCGATCGGTTCAGCCGTTTTAACGTTTATTGGATACAAACGGACAGACAAACAAGCAAAAAATATATATATAGATATATACAGTTAAAATTAAAGTTAATGGTTTACAAAGACTTTATTTTACTGCAGCTATCAACTCAAACTAGTAGATAGATATTTGAAAATTAATTGAATAAAATTCTTTTAAACTTTTAGTAACAGTTGAACTTTCAGCACAATTTCAGTGATTGATTTTTAAAAGATAACATTAAATTCAAAATAAGTATTAACTCTTTCATGTACGTGTTTTTAGGATCTCCTCTCCCAAGAAACTTCTTATCCCAACTTCCCAATCTCATGGTTCTCATGCAGTATACTGTCTAAGATGGCTTGTTAAAAGATTTTTTCTTGAAAACTTTTTATTACACAGTTCACATGTGTGTGGTTTCTCTCCAGTATGAACCAAATTATGTCTTTTCAGATCACCTTTAGTGGAAAACCTTTTATCACACAAATCACAATTTACTGGTTTCTCTGCAGAATGATCTTCATATGTCTTTTCAGAGCTGCTTTTCTTGGAAACCTTTTATCACACATATTACAATGAAACAGTTTCTCTCCAATTTCAAATGGACCTTCTCAATAAACGTTTTTCCACAAACTTCACATTTGAATGGTTTCTCTTCAACAACAGAATCAATGATCTCAACATCAACGCCAACACCACTGACAACATTTTTATCAAAATCTTCATCATTCTTCTGAATTTTCTCTTCATCCTTATTTCTGTGAGTTCTCAAATGTCTTTTTAAATGCCGACTTTGCCTAAACCTTTTATCACATGTTTCACATTGATATCGTTTCTCTCCAGTGTGAATATGAGTACGAGTATTTAAGTAGTAACTCAAAACAAACCTCTTGTCACAATATTTAAATGGTTTCTCTCCAGTGTGTGATCTCATGTGTGAAGTTAAACGATGGGGCTTATAAAATATTTTATCACAAACTTCACACTTTAAAGGATGCTCTCCAGTGTGTGTTCTCATTTTAACCTCAAGGGTAGAGTTCTTGGTGTTCTGTTCACAACTAGAACCCTACTCACAATATAATTTCCCATCAGCTTCCATTTGTACAGTGACACCATCTTCCATTATATTCTCTTCTTCCTTCATTTCTTCATCAACAACTTCTGTACTGCTGTTTTCAATCATTTCAGAATTTATTTCATCAAAACTTTCCTCAATCTCCGCGCTGGAAATATTTTAAAGTCAGAAGAAATAATGTTTTAAAATCATTTTTGTTATCTTTACATCAGATTTCTGTCCGAAACTCCATGTATTCTAAACATAGCACAAATTATCTTACAAAATAAACATATTAATTATTTAGAAAATAAGATTCAAAGATATATTAACCATTTTAAATTAGAAAAAAAGGTTAAGGATACCTTTAATACTACCCTTAAAGAGGTAATTAAACATCACAACCTTTTATTGTGATCATTTAAGTTCTCTAAAACTTTCGTTGAATAAGCACAAAGATCGCAGGTGTAAAGCAAGCCATGAGTTTTCTTATGTTTCTTCAAGATTGTAGGATTAGCGTTGACAAATTCACATTCACACTGTCCATCATGGTCCTCCTCATAATGCATCCTGCACAAGTGATTTAATAAATGAATTATCATTCTTTGGATCATTATCTACTTCTGTTATAAAATTTACAGCCAACAAAACAAATTTTTTAAGGTTCAAAAATTGTAATGGGGATCAGAAATAGGCCAAAAAAGATCCTAGAATGTGTAAAATAATTATACGCCTCTATTATTCATATTATAAGAATGATCAAAACACGGTTATTTTTATGAGATTAGAATTCTAATAAGTATTTGTAGCCAGGGCCGGGACAGAAGATTGACTTGATTGTGTTCTGTTTTTATTCTATTAAGATTGATAAAACACAATTAAAAAAAACATTTAATTTGTAATACATTTTTATTGACTTGTATGTATAATGTATATTGGTTTAACTTCCTGACTGTATGTTTTATTATATTAAGATTGATAAAACAAAAATTAAAAAAACGCTAAAATAATATAAAAAAATAGTAAAGCACTTAATTTGTTTATACAATTTATTACAAATATAAAACAAAACAATCCAATAATTAAACAAACGAGCTCCTTAAAATCAACAAAAACTGCGTGGTCCACAGATATTGAGACGCAGTTTAGTAAATAATGCTGAAAATACAATCTTACAGCAGTTGATTTTTATGAGAACAATTCCCCCCTCCCCCCCCCAAAAAAATTAAATGATATTATTACTCGAAAGCTATTGTTTTCAAAAGTGGGTAAAAAGCTTTCCACCAAGTAACATCTGAGCATGCAATCTTAATTTAATCACACTAAGTCTATTGTTAAAATTTTACAATTTGTGATCTTATCATCAGAATTAATCCCTGTAACAGGGGGGAAGGGAGAGGTTTCATAACTTAATCATCATCCTCCTCCAGAGCAGCAGCAGCTGCGTTAGCTCTAAGAATAGCTCCAGGGTTTGGATACGGTCTCTGTTGGAATAGAGGACCGGAGGCTGTAGAATCTACTCCTGACTTGGCTGTACTCTGATCAGGTAAACCCGTAGACCAGGTACCTCGAGGTACATCACTGTACGCAGCAGGATCCATCGGATCCAGGAACCCTTCCTCCTTCTCCTTCTCCTTCTTCTTCCTCTTCTCGCGTAGTTTCTTCTCCTCCTCCTTCCTCTTCTCCTTCTCCTTCCTTCTCTTCTCCTCCAGCCTTCGATCCTCCTCGTCCTCGCTGTTGTCCATATCACTGTCGAGACTCATGTTGTCCTCCTCCTCCTCCTTCCTGAGACTGGCCTCTGTAGCGAGGATCTCTCTCATCTTACTGGCAGCCTCGGTAGCCTGGAATATATACAGTAATAATCAATTAATGTTTCACTTCTTTCTTTAAATTAGAAATACTTCTGAAGACTTTGCTTATATGTAAAAATGTACTTTAACCGCAAATCCCCAGCAGTTACAAATACAAAATTCTTTGCGGCAATTCTTATTAAAAGTAAAACCTGATTGTTCATGAAATGCTAAGTTTTTAAGTATGATAATACAGTTTGAAAAATAAGGTTTTATAATAGAAAAATATATCAGTGCTCAATTTCAAAAATGTAAAATTTGCAAATTGGAGATACTTTTTTTTTGGGGGGGGGGAGGGAGAGAAATTTAAGAAGTTAGAAGGGTTTGATAAAAAGAAAAGTGATATTTACCAGTGTTCTAGGATGGCCAGGGGGAAGCCAGGATACTTTGTCTGTCTTAGTACACCTAAACAATTAGAACTTTGTTACAAACTAGATATAAAAACTAGATATAAAAACTAAAATTAAGACTGAGATAAAAATAATTCGGCAAGAAAAATTTTTAAATCAAAATTTAATAATTTCACTTTAATTATATTTACTGAAACTCTCAAAAATAAGATATTTAGTTAAAAAACAATTACAATAAAAATAATAAAAATAACAATGATAAAAATAATGATAATGATAATAATAAATTTACCAATAATAATGTCTAGCAGTGCCAGCATCATACATCTCCCTCCAACCATCCGGTAGAGGATAGAACTTCTGGATCATCTGGTTGTGTACACGGATATACTCCTGTACAGTACAGTGTAAATAAAAGTTATTATGTACACGGATATACTCCTGTACAGTACAGTGTGCATAATAGTTATTGTGTACATGGATAAATTCTTTACAGTTCAGTGTACATGATAGTTATTGTGTACACGGATATAGTCCTGTACAGTACAATGTATATGATAGTTATTATGTACACGGATATACTCATGTAAAGTACAGTGTTCATGACAGTAATTGTGTACACGGATTTACTCCTGTACAGAACCGTGTACGTGATAGTTATTGTATACACGGATTTACTCCTGTACAGTACAGTGTTCATGACAGTGATTATGTACACGGATTTACTTCTGTACAGTACAGTGTAATGATAGTTATTGTGTACAGGGACATACTCCACTCCTGTAAAGTACAGTATACATAAAAGTTATTATGTACACGTACGGCAAGAAAAATGTACTTTGGCGACTATTACAATAATTCATTGGTATTTTTGATATAAAAAAATAAATAAAAAATATGTCCATGATTTTGTTTATTAATATTGGATAGGTAAAGATATATGTATACATAAAAAATAAATATGTTATGTACCGTATCCATTGGCTCCTTGTGCCCAGCTCCCCAGAATGTTCTACAGAACAGTACACATTCATGGTGAATATTCCATTTATTGGGACACCCGGCATGACCCTAAAATAATCAATGTATTTTTATGAGAACCTTCTGGCAAAAAAACTTGCATTCAAATTTGTAAAAGGGAAGGGGAAGGGACAGATTTTTTATTATCTAAACTTTCAGCACTTTATTCTGCAGTTCTCCGTTTATCTTCTTTAAATACTCACAATATATCTAGTTTTATCCAGTAGGTTGGTGTTAGATGATGTTAGGATTGGGGCTGTTGGTTGATTGATTGATTGATTGATTGTAGCTGGACGGTGGAGAGAAGAAGGTTCCGCAACATCATCATAGTCCTCAGCAAACACCTCCTCCTAAGAGCGAGCACTTTAGTGTGGGATCATTTCAATTTTAATAAAAAAAACATTCATTAATTTAATTCTTATAAAATGTTCAGCACATTAAAGGGAGTGACCGGCAATGTATGGTGGTTGAACTGAGTATGCAGTATTGTAGAAAATCTTGTTAGACTGAGACATAAAAATTATAATTACTGAGTTTGAGTGTAAAGTCGACGTTCACAATCATGAATTTGGTAAGGTACATTTTCAGAATCTGTTTTTTTTATTATTAAATAACGACGACGAAAAATCAATAAAAAATTATACAGTAAACTAATAAGATGTTTAGGAACATATTTCTTAATAGAAATTTGTCAATAAATCAATGTTAGAAACGATTATTTCGTTTTCATCATTATATTGAATTTCTTATTTTCAATGAATTTCTTCGCAGATTTCTTAAAATTCTTCAAATGTCGTTTTTCTAATAAAAATTCCAGAAAATTTGCAGAAAGTCTTTGTGAATAATTGACAGATTATAGAAACTAATAATTGAACAAGACTACTTATTTTCAATGATAGGAGTTAATTTTTATTTTCTCAACCTGTTCCTAAACAACTAATTAGTTCACTGTAGATTTTTTTACATTTTTATCGTCATTTTTTAATAATTAAAAAAATAACGATTCTTAAACCGTACCCATCATGATTTTGAACGTCGACTTTGCACTCAAACTCAGTAATTATACGTCGTAGAAACGTTTTATATGTCTAAAATGAATCCTTAAAAATTTGTCCACAGAACTACATACTTAGTTCAACCACCATACATTGCCAGTCACTCCCTTTAAGAGGATGAATTAATTTTTCTAGATAATGATTTTTTTACTATTGATGTATTTATTCATCTAAGCACTTGACTATCTGATCTTCAATTATGAATATATCAATTAATAATTTTTTCAATTTTCAAATTAATTCATCATAAAATCTATCAATCAGTTACAAAATAAATCAATAAATAAATCAACAAATTAATTTAATCAATCATGAACCAAATCAATCAATGAAAAAATAAATAAAAAAATAAATCAACAAATCCTACACTAATTGAATTACCAATGTTTCGACAACTAAAACAAATCAAATCATATTTTCTAGGTATGTTCTACTTCCAGACTTTAAAATATTGTCAATTTAAAAACTTATTGGAGCATTAATTTTAACCTGTTCTTCTCTATATCCCCGCCCACTTTGCTGGCTGGAGTCACGTCCTCGATTCTAAAAATAAAGTTATTTGGAACTTGTTACGTAGAATCAGGATAGGCGATCAGGGTTAAGTAAATATAAAAGAAACCATTAGTCGCAAAAAAATGATCTACATTCAATTTTTGAATGCTTAAAAGCTAAAATCTAACTTCATAGAAAATATAAAAATTCTACCTTATTATCAACAACTTTACCCAGCTGAGGATCAAATCCTTCTACGCTAGAATCCTAAATTTAAATCTTTTTAAAGCTTATAAAACCTAAACAAAACATGTTGATATTGATAGCAATCCAATCATATATTTTATATTTAAACATCTTATTTTACAAATTTTTTTGATTTTCATAAAACATTGGTACTTAAAATAGTTTCAACAAGTGTATTTAAGCCAATGTTAACCGATTAATTAAAATGTTAGCACTTTCAAAAAGTTTACAGGTTTTACAAACATTCAAGCAAACACAACATTAGAGTTTGGTCATTTTAGAACAAAATTCATTTATCAACTTCAAAATTTTAAAATGCTCATTTTATCATAATGATACTACCTTTAAAAGTCCTCGTTTAGCAAGCCTTGCCGCCAATGCTGGAGGTAGCGGCATTTTTATCTGAAAATAAAGATTAAGATATTTACATAAAATATATACTGGTAAACCCGTAACAAATGTTTCAAATAGTTAAATAAACAAACACATAAATTGTGCAATGTTTACAGATCCATTTCGCTTAATAATTAGAACAACTGGTAAAACTACATGCGGTATAAGATTAAATACACAAAAGATTGCTTCAACATCATGACTATCAGTATTCAATATAATTATCTACAGACACTTGTTTTCCTTTTCTTCAGAATAATTGTTGTGTATAAAGAAAAATGCTTCAACTCAGAATTTCTTCTGGAATTTGGCAACTTTGGTCTTCCTCACTACGAAATAATAGTTCTAACCAGTCAACAATTATTAAGTGGGTCGAGCCCCTTCATTTCAACTCAAACTACGAAAATTAATGTACTGAGGACTTTATAAAGAAAATGTCAAAATTAAGAATTAAAAAGGTTCCCTTTTATGCCGACTGTTAAATCGTGAAAAATAAAAAATAATACAGCCATCCATCATTCCACAGGAATAGCTTTCCGTAAAAGTGACATTTAACAAAGTAACATACAGCATGGATTCTCTTATGTATAACTTTTGTTCCTTATGAAGAAAACATTCTATTAGTAGTTTCTCTCTTATAAGCATTCTCAAGTACCGGGGTTTCACGGAAAACAGTTTGTCACAATTTCACAAACTTTACAATGAGATGGTGTTGTTTAAGCACGAAGATTCGTATGTAAAGCCAACCTTGGCAGCTTATTGTTTTGTGACAAACTGTTAGTTAGATATTATCGTTGGTATTTAAATGTCTCGCATAAGAAGTTTTGCAACTCAAACAAAACAGTTAACGTTATTTATCGTTAGCATGGATTTTTAAATGCCTTGCCCAGTTACTATGGTTTGAAAAACTTTTCCCGCAAATATTACATTTGAATGGTTTTTCTCCAGTGTGCATTCTCATGTGAATTATTAAGGTAGATTTTGCTGAAAACATTTTATCACACACTTCACATTTGTTTGGTTTTTCTCCTGTATGTACTCTAATATGGTTGGTCAGTTTAGCTTTACTGTAAAACCATTTTTTACACACTTCGCACTGAAATTGTTTCTCTTCGGAGTGAATTTTCATATGTGCAGCTAAATTACTCTTAAGTGAAAACAATATTTTGCAAACTTCACATTTGAATGGCTTCTCCCCAGTATGAACTTTCAAATGTCTCTTCAAACAAGAACTCGATTTAAACCTTTTTTCACATATTTCACAATTAAATGGCTTCTCTCCAGTATGAACTCTTATATGTTGGTTTAAATTACTTTTTGAAGTACACCTATGATTACAAAACTTACACTGATATGGCCTCACTCCAGTGTGAACTCTACGATGCAAAGTTAAGTAATATTTATCAGAAAACATTTTGTCGCAGATTTCACATTTAAATTGTTTGTCTCCAGTATGAATGCTCATGTGCTTGGTCCGGTCCCCACTTCGGATAAACCTTTTATCACACACTTCACATTTAATTGATTTCTCGCCAGTGTGAATTTTTATGTGTGAAGTTAGACTGCCCTTTGTTGAGAACAGTTGATCACACACATCACATTTGAACGACTTTTCTCCAGTGTGAGTTTGTATGTGAGCTCTCAAATGACTCTGCAGAGAAAATCTCTTTCCACAAATTACACAATTAAAGGGCTTCTCTCCAGTATGGGTTCTCATGTGGTAAGTTAGACTGCCAGAAATTCTTTTATCACACACTTTACACTCATGAGTTTTCTCTCCAGTATGAATTCTCAAATGTTTTTTTAACTTACCTTTGACAGAAAACAGTTTATTACAAACTTTACACATAAATGACTTCTCTTCAGTGTGAACTCTTATACGAGTTCTTAAATGATCTGACGTGGAAAATTTTTCGTAACTTTGTTCACGTTTCGAAGGTTCCTCTCCTGTATGGGTTCTCAAGTGTTCAGTCAGATGACCATTTTCAGAAAATCTTTTATCCCTCATTTCACACTTTTGTGGCTTCTCCCCAGTATGGGTTCTCAAATGCCTATCTAAATTACTATTCCTTAAAAACAGTTAGTTAAAAACTGTACGGATGAATGTCTCCTCTACAGTGTTAACTCTCACTTAACGATTTCTCACACTTTCCTTACTTGATGACAGTTTGTTGCAAAAGGTACAGAAAAATGGCTTGTCTCTAATGTGAATTTGTATATGGGTAAACAGATTACCTTTTTCATAGAACTTTCTGTCACATATTTTACACTATAGTGTTTTGTCTCCAGTGTGGGTTCTCATGTGTTTTGTAAGATCACTGTTTTCAGTCAACTGTTTTTTCACACTTTTTACATTTAAACGGTTTCTCTCCAGTATGTGTTTAGTAAGACCACCACTTACAAAAAATCATTTATCACAAACTGTACACATGACTTCTCTCTAGAGTGAACTCTCATATGTTTCCCTAAATTTACTTTACTTGATGACAGTTTGTTGCAAAAGGTACACAAAAAAGGCTTATCCCCAGTGTGAACTTTAATATAGGTAAATAAATTGCCCTTCCAAGAAAATTTGTTTTCACAAATTTCACACTTAAATGGTTTCTCTTCAATGTGGATTCTCACATGTTTAATTAGAACACCATGTTCAGAAAATGTTTTGTCACACACTTCACACTTTGGTTTCTCACCAGTGCAGTATGGGTCCTCATGTGTTTTGTTAAGTTGCTTGTCTGTGAGAACAATTTATTGCAAACTTCCCACTTAAAAGAGGGTTTCTCCAGTGTGTGTTCTCATGTGTGTTGTCAAGCTGGATTTTACAGAAAGCCTCAAATTACACACATTACACTTAAATGGTTTCTTTCAAGTTTGGACTCTCATGTATTTTTCTAAATAGCCGGTCTGTGAGAACAGTTTATCAGAAACTTCACATCTAAATGGTTTCTCTCCAGTGGAGGTTCTAATGTGATCAGCAAGAAAAGTTTGTCTTGTAAACCTTGAATCACATATTTCAAAATGACTTATCTCCAGAATGAGGTCTCATGTGAACTTCAAGCTTAGATTTACCCTAATTTTTTCCCCACATACATGTTAAGTATGATCCTTTTAAAAACCTGGTTTAATGAGTTTTTGTTTATTATGCTCAGTAGGGAAGGATCAGCAGTCAGCAGGAACAAGAGATATCTTCTAGGATAGATTTAGTGAGTTCTGTTCCTGAAGTCACAGATACTATTCATCAATCCTAGAGCAAAAAAAAATAATAAGAAGTCAAAAAACGAGCTATTGTGTTTTCACAAGAGTAGTTGTGAAACTTTTATATATCCCACCATTTCCATTTTGTATTCCAGGTCAACAAAATCTTATATTTTAACTTCCCCCTACCCTGTCGGAAATCCATATTATGTACCTCTATTTCCAATTCTTGAAATACAGCCAGAGCCCTATGGTAAATACAGCTAGAACCTAAGATTTTAGCAATTTCTCTGAAAAAAAATATAGATAACAAATTTAGTTTGTGTGAAATCTTTTACTCTGATTAAAGATCTAATATTGTGATATTGTAAGGTAAGCCCTCCTCCTCTTCCTCCTCCAAGCAGAACATATTGAAGAGAAGACTTTGAAGGTTGGTGTACATCTTGACCCACTTCTCCTGCTGCCGCATTACACCCAACAACCTCGACACAAGGTTTAGGATACGCTCATCCCTGCAATAGTATATGATTCTATTGAGGAAAAAATGTAATAATGGAATTTCTTTAATGAGATGAAATAATCTTGATGAATTCTTTTACGGAAAGGAGAATTTCGCTAAGTTCCTGAGAATTCCTCAGGAAGAATGAACATTCTTCAACAAGAGTAATAATTTCCATTCTTTAATGTTTCGAGCGTGTAAAAATATACATTCTTTCACTTTCTGACCGTCTAATAGTTTCCATTCTTATATTCTTAAAAGACTGAAAATTCTACTGATACAGTGAAGAAAAAGCATTCTTAAACGCTAGGAAACAAACAATTATTATTATAAAGATTTATTCACACACAAATATATAAATACATATATAAATGGTGCAGTTTAAATTTGTTTTTGAATATATAATTTACAAAAGAAAACAGAAAAATGTGCAAAATTATTCACAAATAGGCGACATTGATCATTACTCATTACATAACATATTTATCATTTCAGTTATTACAGAATCATATTGAAACAATTTCTCCTGAACCGTGTAATAATGGGAATTTTACACTCCTTCTTAACTGAATTAAGTCTAGTTTATTTCATCGTTTAAATTAAACTTATACTAACCTTGATATCACCAATTGTATAAAGAATTGTACAATCACAATTTCAACCCATTTAGCCACTCTAAAATATAAAATCATAAAATAAGAAAACTCTTATTTTGGATCTTCAAACATTAAGCCTCAGCAACTAATATTCCTTTAGGTTGTAAAATATAACACTTTTAGTTCATATACAAGGTGTCTCTAAAAAGGTTTTAAAACGTTTTTTCAGTCAACTAAACATGGTTGTATTATGTTAAAAAATGATTTAAGTAGGTACAATATCCATAAATGGGTTTTGGGTCGTCAATGAAACATTTTTCTCTAAAATGCCGTTTAAAACTTCAAAATTAGGTCCAATATTCTAAAATGTGCCCAGTCCCACTAATCACTGTTTCATTGTTCTGAAACGTGTTCCTATTAGATACAATTTCCAGAAATTGGGGGGTTGTCGGTGAAATATTTTACTATAAAATGCGGTTTTGGGTCCGAAATAGGGTCAAACGACCTAGAGTCAAACGACAAACGGTCAACAACGCGACAAAGGGTCAAAATGGAAGGAAATATTTAAGGGTTAAGTTAGGTTAAGACAATTTCTAGGCCGAGCACTGCGGCTAAGACAAGCTAGGGATCCGAGTACTGTGGCTAGTAGTTCTAATGAACATAAAACATAACATAAAAATATGTATTATTTCAGGGTTAGGTTAGATTAAGACAATTTCTGGGCCGAGCGCTGTGGCTAGGACAGACTAGGGGCTGGACACTACAGCTACTAGTTCTAATGAACATAAAAATAGTTGAAATTAACCAAAAATAGTCTAAATGAAGTTTTGCCCGATTGTCGCATTTTTTATTTCTATGTCGTTTTACCCTTTATCGCATTTTTGACCGTTTGTTCTTTGACCCTGGATCGTTTTACCCTAGGCCGTTTGACCTTATGTCGGTGAATCCGGTTTTGCCTTCAAAATGTGCTCGAAATGTAGGCAGTTCCTCTTCGAAATCTTTGAGAAAACAGGCCGAGCACATTTTTAAATATTAGGTCTACTTTTGAAGGTTAACCCGGTCTTTTAGAGAAGGATTTATTTACCCCCACCCCCATTTGAGGGGAGTGTACATACTGAAAGCACTTTATTACACATTATAACGATGTTTATTGGGTTAAAAATTCTAAACACACTTTTTTTACATATTTTTAAAAGTTTTTTTTCCCGATTGTCATTCTTCATAATCTGAATCTGAGGAAATGGTTAAAATTCATTAATAGATTATAGGCTCAGCTACATTTTGCCTAGTCGCAATTTGCCTAGTCACATTTTGCCTATTTCACTTTTGCCTAGGTAACATTTTGCCTAGTACACTGTACACTGTATAGCAGATCAAGCATGATTTAACAAGTAAAAGTTAAAATCAAATTGCAGCGAACTTTGGGAAACAAACAATATCTTGAAATTTCACCTTCTTTGAAGATCAGGATTTATGGCTGAAACATCCTCAGCCAGTATAGAGCAAACATATTCCGTTATATTGATCACCTACAATATCAAATATAATTTGCTTGTCTATCCGTCTGTTCGTTTGTATCCAATAAACGTAAAAACGGCTGAACCAATCCGGGCAAAAATTTTGTGTGGGACCTCACATGAAACCAGAGAAGGTTTGTGGAATATGGATGCTCAAAATTACAAACTTTGTATCCAACATTTTGACTTTCGTAAAAATTTTGGAAACCCCGCTAAAAAATCCACAAAAATTTTATTATTGATTTATGCTGAAATATTGAGCAACAATTACAAGTTGAAATAGAAGATGGGCCTGATAGCCTAGTATAATATATTTTTAATGAACGAAAATATACTAAGTATTTCAATTTACATTTTTAGAAGTGAACGAAAATGAACTATCGTTAAAAAATTTCTTAACTTTAATTTTATTGTTGTTTTCTCCAGACTGATATAATTTGCAAGTTTATAGAAGAGAATTTCGCTAAATCAAATGATTTAGAACGAGCGTGCAAAAAATTGATAGCAAAAAATTGATAAATTTTCTTTTAAAGTAATGATTTTTAAGCATGAATGCAGAATATCAAATTACGCTAGGAAGACGACATTTATAGCGTAAAAATGCCGCTGTGCAATCTATAAAAATTGCGAGACGTTCAGATTTTATTTAGCACTCAATTGGCTTAGCTTTTCGCAAGCACTCAATTGGCTAGCATATAGTTCTAAATAATGCATAGGAGAATTTTTTCTAGGGCTATGCAAATTATATTTTTGACGTAGCAATCTCCAAATCTCAAAGCGGAGTCAAAAATAATAAATCCGCGCAATTATCTTTTAAATCCGCGAGATTATATTCAGAATAAACTACACCAGCACAATATTACGGACACGTAGATGTAAAACCTCTGTATAAAACTTAAGAAATTATTATACCAAATCTTACATATAAGTATTGGTTAACTTTGACACAATTTTATATCAATTTCTCGAGACAGGAACATCAGATAGAACTCTAATGGGTCTCGATCAACTCCTTATGTTCTTAGGTTTCAGCCTCAACCCCCCTTTAATTTTTCCTTCCCTATAAATCGAACAATAACAAAAAATGTTGTGGATGTATCGATTCTCTAAGGCAAATTTAATAAATTCCGACCATTTATCAACCTTCCCTGGGGTCATGCGAGGTCCTACAAAATTTGGGCCGGATAGGTTCAGTTTCTTGGATACAAACAAACCAGCAAACAATGAGAGTATATATTTAGAGTATATGTTTTCATTTTTAATCAAGAGAAGGTCTTAATACAACATGAATAAAAAGCCCTAACAACGAAAGGAACAATTCATTGGAAGGCCGGCATTAGTAAATGATCGAAAACAGAGAATGTATCCAACAATAAAAATAAAATCAGACTTCTAGAGTTGTCCTACTTCCATTCTACAGTTTCAAGATGACTTTACTAAATCAAAATTGTAGCCTGGGTTTATGATTTGTGTAAACTCTACCTGTTCAATATTTAGCCTGGAGAGCTCCCCTTTCAACGAATCAGTAGAGTATTCTCTGTTTAGTAGAATACTAACCATCTGCTGCAAATCCTCCTCCCTATTACATATTAATCAGAAAAGAAAATTGATAATAAATAAAAAGTACTTCTTTTCAGAGCGGAATAGTGATAAAAATAAATAACAAAAAACTTATAATTGTTGTATACTAATCATACTAATCAGTAATCATAGTCAATATTTACATCAATGCCTCCTAATTTCCCAAATTATATGAAACAGAATATAAAAAATGGGTCTTTTGACCTACCCATGTTTGTTAGGTCCAGGTTTACTAATGACCTCCAGGAAGTCCACAAGAAGATCCTCAGGTATATCCTGGGCAGTCCTCAACAACTCAACTAAATTAATCAGAAGCTTAATAGTAAGGCCAGATATTTTCGCAGATGTTAATACTTAATGGGCTTAAAAGCGTAATTTAAAGCAACTTTCCATTCTCAATGATACCCTTGAAACCTTGATTTTCTGACTCAAATGTGTTTAATTTAGTAAATTTCGTCGTTGGCTCTTATAAACAAGAAATGTGCGAGTAAGTTTTGCAGGAAAACCACACATGCAATTTAACAGTTAAAATAAACAAAACATTCCATATTTAAATCAAACTTGATCAGACAGAACTTTTAACCGTTTTAAATCGGACACTACCATCTTTGCATAGAGGAATACATGAAATCATGCTTAAAGATACTTAGTTTTTCCTTTTAACCTTTAACTTAGATTAAAGAAGATTTAAATTGATTGTCTCTGCAGTGAAACCACAAATGTAAATAATCTATTTTCCTCGAGCTAACTGAGAATATCTTATTTATTCCTAGTCAAAAGAGTAGTGAAGGGTACCGTGTGAATCGGACGTGCTATCCCATGGATGGAGGATCACATGAATTTACGTTAACAGTTGTAAAAACCCCAAATGAAGTATCATTGTAGCCATTATAATAAAATACTTAGATGAGCTCTAAAAAAAGAGATTTTTCTAGTGTATTCCAAAAAATTAGGATTGATTATAAGAAAAAAAAATGTTTAAAAAGGCAAACAAAAAACTAGATAATCTCTTGAAGAAAGGATTGATAATAATGATGATATCAGTTAAAATTATATTTCAATTCTATTCTAGATTTCTAATTGAATTATAATATTCACCTATTTCCGTCAATTTCCCCTCCTTCAGCAATAAAGAAACCCGGGTGTAGAGAGAAATTGGAGAATCTGGAAACACATTCTCAAGCTCTCGATTCTTTAACGCTGCGCCTGAACCAAATAAACAATTCTTCGCTTAAAACTAATAAAAAATAAACTTATAACTAGATTTTTTGTAAGTCAGACCCCACGTTCTTTTCAATAATTAAAGTTGTGTTAAGAATCTTCAGTAATCATACAAAATAAAAACAATTAAATTTTAATTCTAGCCCCCTGTCCCAAAAAAAAATGATTAGGAATAATGGTTGAACATTTTATTAATTTATCTATTTATAAAAAGAAAGTGAATGAAAAAATATTATGTTAGTAGATTTTCCCCGCATTTCCTATTTTCTAAGGATTAAACTGGATTAAACTGGATTAAACTGGATTAAACTGGATTAAACTGGATTAAACTGGATTAAACTTGGTTACCTAAATATAAATCAAATGTTTTGTTGAGATCAGTTACAGGAGTAAAGGCAATCCTCCCTCCGCCAACGGTGAAAAGATTACCGTTCACGAAATGCAATCCTTCACCTCTATAATGGGGGAAAATGTTTTTTTTTTAAAGTTTTTAGATAACTTCATATTAAATTATATTCAATATCTAATCCAAGCAGTTAACTCAAAAGATATGCATTATGCATTTATTCTCTACCTGTGAACAATTGTTTTCAGTTTCTTTGGCTCCGAGAAGATTTTGAACGGTATTGATAGTATTTGCAGTACTCCTCCATCTGTAGACTCTCTGCATTGTCAAAATATTATGTACACGCTTTTTTAAAATTTTTATCTAATTGTTTAAAATATTTGACCGATACAAATTTATAATTTCTTGCAATTTATTATTGGTTTTGTCTTTGATTTCTATGATTCATTTTGAGATTTTTATGATTCTGAATATGGTCTATCAATAAAAATCTAATTTTATCAGCCTTCTATTTTTGAGACTATAAAGTGAATCTCCTTCTTTTGCAGAATTGCGGAATAGTGTAAACCCGTTTTCATATAACCTAGTGATCATAACCTGCAGGGACAGCTTTAATTGAAAGATCATGCATTTATCCTCAAATTTACAAGTTCTCACAATGGATATCGAGATCAAGCGTTTGAGATGAATGATACTCCACACATAAGTTCCAATTATGAATTCTGCTAGACAAAATATTTAAAGTTTGATTTATCAGATCTTCACGTGATCAAGCTCCAAGAAATTGACATTAAAAAATCATTGAATTTGTGGCGAATAATTACTTTACTGTTTCCTCGTTAACTCTTAATTTGATTTTACTTGAGATTTAGTTAACTTACTGTGAGTACATGAGAGCACAGAACAACGTTGACAGACCAAGGATTGAAGCGTCGTCAATTTCTGGAATTCTGAGAATAACTCTCCAGTTTAAAACCTCAAGTCCAACACTTTGCAAGATCTCACCTAAAATCAAAAATTTTAATTCATGTTTAAAATGATCTTAAATAAAAGCATTTTTTCAGATGCTAAAGCAAAAAAATATTAATTCATATCCTGAAGTCAAACGATACCAAAAAGGGCATGCATTATTTATTGCATGAACTTTTATGCAAAAATAATGATAAGGGTTCTAGGAATCTATAAATGATGATAAGGGTTAAAGGAATCTATAAAGTAAAAAACTCACCAGATTTTTTCCAAATAAGAATATAAGGTTCATTTCCAACAAACACATCCCAAGAAAAAAGTTGACTTCTAAAAAAAATAAAAAAATATATGTGTCACTTGAATAATAAGTTCTACAATTTTTCTTCACATTACTACATAACATAATATTAGATTAGATTACAACATTAAAATTTTTCTACAAATATAGATGTTTTAATTGGAACTTGAAAAGTAACAGACGTTGATTGGGAAAAAACAGTTAAGAAACATTAGTTTGTGCATTTGTACAGATCGCGCGATCTGAAAATAATCGGTCGAAAGACTCGTTGGAAGACGACCTCATAGTTCTTAATGTTAAAAAGGGGAAAATGTAACATTAAAAACAAGTTGCATCTCATTTAGTTTTACAGGTTTATCCAACTATTGCTTAAAGTTTTGATTGAGAAACTCGTAAGGAAAGGTTCTAAGTTTGGTTTAATAATTCTAATAAACGTTGAACGACCAGGCCAAATTTGGTTCCCAAGCTAATATAAATTGATTAAAGGATTGACCAACCTGTCCCCTAGATTTAGTATTCTTCTAATAGTGAGCACTACTCCATCCTCATCTCCTGTCAAACTGAACCTTAACAATACATAGTTAAAGGGACTGTAGGCAAAACTTTAAGAGATCCTTCATTCATAAAATGGCATGTCCGAAATTCAACAGTACCCTGTTAACCCTCGTCTGATTCAGGATGAAATTTTTGTGACTAAAAAATATTATTTTCAATTGTGGTTTCTCTTTTTAAATTACTTGCGAATTTTAACACCAGAAACAATGAAAGATATTTTCAGAAATGATCATCATTCTATATATTGAAAGTTGTAATCACTGTTTGTCTGTCCGATTATAACTCAGGAACCCCTGGAACGATTGGAGAACTCGGAATAACCACGGGAATGCTCTTAGTTTGGTTTAGAGATTCTAAGTTAAGTGGGTCGACTTTTATAGCGAAAAATTAGTTTCCCGATAAAAATCGTCTAAGTGCGGGTAATCGTCGGGACTTCCTATGACTACCCTGGGCAACGCTGGTTTCCAAAGCTAGTATTTGAATAAAAAAGAAACGACAAGCAGATAAAGGCTTAAAAATTACTATGGAGGGTTACTTTAAATTACAATGATAGTCCCTTTAATTTATAGTATTACTATATATATATTTTCAGTCAAATTGAGTCCCTAACACTGAAGAATGTACCTGCATTTAAGAAGAACTATATTCTTCTGTTCTCCTTGGTTCACGGATTTTTCTAGATTTGAAGATTTGGCATCTTTTTGTTTTTCTTTACTTTTATTTCCAGTTTCAATATTTTCATCACTATCATCATCTATCTCCATTATCTCTACTTCGGTCTCTATCGTATTCTTATTCTTTTTCTTTTCCATCTTTTTCTCATTCACTGGACACCATTCCTTCTCAATGGTAAAGATAATGTAGGAGGAGATGTCGTCATCAAACAGTTTCACACTCAACAACTTCTCTCCCGGCCTGAGGATCCCGGCGGGATACTCGGCCTCGTCGTCCTCCAGCAGCCTCTTCAGGGAACCCACACTACCATCCTCGAACACGACTATGTGGTCGCGTTTACGAGGATGGAGGCTGAATATTTTCTTTTTTAATGTGCCTTTGTGGAAATCAGTTATTTTTGAGCTGAGTTCGTTCGCCAGAGCGATTTTTGATGAGTCGAAAGCAATTACAGTATTACAGTTTTCAAATACATCCTGTATAATTCAGGTTCATTCATTTTTACACTAATGGGGTCCCCCTTTTTAAAAAAACTTTAACCCTTATAAATTATTTCTTTAGAATGAAATGAATTTAAATGAGAAATGAATGAACGCATGAAGTGCCTGACATCTAGCGGCGGACTTAATAAACTGGATTGCAGTAGGGAACCATGTGTTGATTACGCTGGCATCCAACAGCTTTATCGTAATCACCTAGACAAATAATAAATCTGATGTTTTCAAAAATTGTTTCAATGATTTGAATTTATTTAAATACCTCTGCCACGGCCACCCCAACCGTATATTTTAAATTTTCAAGATTAAAAGTTACTCCAAATTATTTGGGGAAGTATGTGAATATTGTAGTCAGGGGTTTATTTTTTCTCCAAAAAATCATTCCTCCATTTAAAAAAATATTTTTTCCACTATAAGTTACAAAATATGTATGTTTGCACTGAGCAAAAACACAAATTTTTGTGTTTTTTTTCGCTCAATTGGGAAAAATGAATTTAAGGAGGGGCGATAAAACTTGTCTTTTGATGTCCCAATTTTTCATTTTTACCCCAGATCTTCAACAATAACCCCCCACCCCACCCCGCCCCAAATAGCATATACTTAGTTTATTAAATCTAAGAATGGCAAATTATATGTTTACCAATTATTCAGCATTGACAGATGGAAACCTCTATCATTTAATGAAATAATGGTGAACTAATCCAGCGTCTTGATACCTTTGAGTCCTGAACTATTAGAACATGGTCTTTCTCATCAGCCTCTACAACCTGTACACCGGGCACAATAAACATCATGAACACTGTACTGTACACTGTACATTGTACACTGTACAGCAAGTGCCAATGACACGTATTTTATCTTATGTAAGCAATATGTAAACATGCTCAACAGTGTAAATTATGTAACACATTCAAATACCTTGTTTTAAACAGTGTCTTCCTACAAACATGGCAATTAAAGTTGTATCAGTAAAGAATTAACACTGTATTAATACCTCAATACAATGACAAAAATAGTTACGTCTGCTCAAGTATATTGTATGAGGACAGTTAAGACTGCAAATGCAAGATAGAGAGTTGAGGAGAACAACTGAACTGTGTTTTTAAATCGGATATTTCTCATTTTACTAATTACAATAGTATGCAATCGAAACTAGCAGACGAAACCTCTACAGATTACAGCATTCCTGGTAGGTATCACCGAACTAACTTCAATAAAATACTTACAAAGACGATATCAAAATTGTCACTAAATTCCCGTGTTTATTGAGTCACCCTGAATACACTATTTCAATAAGACGCGCAAATGCACCCTTCTGCGAATTTTTTAATTCAAACATTTTATGTGTCTAACAAATCAACCTTTCAATCGATCCTATTTAATCAATCAATTGATTAATAATTAATTAACTAATCAATCGATCATGTATTTAATGGACCAACTATTTAATCAGTCTTCAATGTTTAGTGTGTTCCTTAGTTTCTCCAAATCCGCAAACACCGTCGAGAACTGTCAACTTCCCCAGAGACATCTTTTAACTCTGCAACAAACTAAATTTTCAACAAACTTTTACAACAAGTAACTTAAAGCCCCGGTAAAGAACTGAAGGAACAAGAAATCAGAGCCTGTCGCCTAAAATGACGAATTTAAAGTTTTCAAATTGGGTTGGTGTTGGAGAATAACAGCTATAGCTACAGCCAGGAAAACATGCAAACATAAAAATTTATTTTAAAGGGACTGTTCACGTAATTTAAAATGAACTTTAATTGAAATTTCAAGTTACACTCTATGTAAAGCTTAGTATGTCCAATTCACAACAATACCCCATAAACCAGTATGAGGAACAATGAGAAAGATATTGTCGCATTTTAAACTGAAGAAGTGTTAAATTCTGACAGTTTTACTCTTTCACTTCAACTTCATTAATCCGCAGGGCAATTCTACACATAATCCTCCATTGAACATTGTCAATTTTAAAATAGAACATGAGGAATAACTTCATCAGTTCAGCTCAGACATATGTTTAAAGGGTACCGTTGTAGATTAGATCCACGCTATCAATTTAAAGTAACTTGATATATTACGTCTACACTCCCTTTAAACTTTAAGTTTAAAATGTTGCTTATTTTTGCATTTCAGAATTAATTCATTATTTATCAAATTATTAAGTGTACAGGGTAGAAGAACCAATGACTAGAAGGCTTGAGGTGGTCGGAATGTTTTATACTGCATGCGTACATGCTGTAGAGGTGGAGACCGGTTTAAAACCCAGTTGTACTCCTCCTTAACCTTTTTAGAGTTCTCAGAGTACATTTGCCTGAACAAGAAAATAAAATTAAATAGTTTATCAAATCTGATTAAGCAATAATAATTTTTTTTGACAATTTAAAACAAAATGTAGTCTTTAATAATTTTGCTCAAAACATATTAAATCTTAATTGTATTACTATAAATATCTATTTAAATATATAAATATCTATAAATAGACCCTTTGACCCTGCTTCTTAACATACTGTGTAATTAACCTGGAAACAGGGGTGTATTTTTCTTGAAAATCTTCAGCCCCCCGCCCCGCCCCTTTATAAATTATTTTTTTTTCACCAAATATTAGCAACAAATATATTTCTAGGGTTTCTTGCTGAATAAATGATGTTAATTGTACTTCTTAAAAATATACACCCCTGACTGGACATAAAACTATTTTTAATTCGCTTGATATTTAAAGTAACACCCCATTACCAACTAGACCTAATCTACTTTAATTAGAATTTAGATAAAAGATCAATATAGCGTTATTAATGTGTACTGTGAAGGGAATATTCGGATAATTCTAAATAACTTGTAGGACGTAGCTGGCTAGGTACCACATACAGAAAAGTGTTTATATTTTAAAATTATGATGTTCAAAATGTGAAGAAGACAAAAATCCTAATTGGGGAAAGTTTCCGAGTTAAATTCAGAGTTGGATTAAAACTATTTTAAATCTTTGATAATGGTTCAGGAGAGTAGAAATGGCAAATTTTTTCAAAAATCGGAACGATTACATGGAAGGATAGTTTACAGTAGAAAAAGAGAAACTGAACTCTTGTCAATTCCTTCAAGCAAACAAAATCTTATTTTAAATTAAATTACGAAGAAATTAATCCTGGACCTGTTAAGCTGTGTATCTGGTAGAGGATTGTTTTTCTTATTCCTTTCCATTCTCTCCCATTCCTCTTTTGTCATTGGAGCTCGTTGTCTCACTTAAACTTTCTCTGTTTTAGATTTTACACATTTTTACAGATTTTACAATGATAAAAAAAGTCATTAATTTAAATTACAGTTTTCCTGTTACTGTTAAAAACAGAGCTCCGCTAATCATCACCTTCGCTTCCCCCGTTCTCCTTCTTCTTCTCCTTCTTCTTTTCCTTCTTCTTCTCCTTCTTTTTCTTCTTCTCCTTGCTCTTGTGTTTCTTTTCCTTCTTTCCCTTCTTCTCTTTCTTTTTCTTGGATTTTTTACTTTTCTCCTTTTCTTTTGAGGGTGATTCATCCTCCGAACTTTGATCATGATCCTTGCTTAGATCCCGGGATTTCAAGTCTTGATCTCTACTGAGATCTCGGGGTTTCTTGTCATGAACCCTGCTTAGGTCGCGTGTTTTCTTATCTTGATCCCTACTGAGGTCTCGGGATCTCTCCACTTGATCCCTACTTTGATGTTGGGATCTTCTATCTCGATCCCTTCCCTGGTCATAATCCCTACTGCGATCATTGGATCTCTTTCTCTCCCTGGACCTGTCAGGAGTTCTGCTCTGTCCCCGGTTTCCTGACGGAGAGTATCTATCCGACCCGTTATTCCTTTGTGTACGTTCATCATCCAACTTGTTAGCTCCCCAGGGCTGGATTTCCCCATACTGATCCTTCAGCATGCTCAACAATCTCAAGTTCACATCACTACCCGGAGCAGTTTCCTTGGTTATGAGTTTAGTGCTTGAGTTAATTTTTAACATGTTCGGGTTTTTAGGCGAGTTAGCAGTGGGGGGAGAAGGTTTTCGTTGCACTTCCGGCGACTTGGATTTTTTACTGTGAGAATCTTTTGACTTTGATCTAGAGATCTTTGCTCTTTTCGTGGACCTGCTCCGAGATCTTCTTCTTTCCCGGGATCGGGAGCTGGACTGTCGAGCTAGGGGCTTCTTCGGAGAGCGGGATCCTTTCTTAGTCCTTGAGGTTTTATCAATGGACTTTGATCTCTGCCGTCGGTCCAAAGATCGCTTCCTCGACCTTCCACCAGACACCGATCGACTCTTTCTCCTAGATCGGGACCGGGATCGCTTTTTACGTCCCTTTGAGACAGACCTCTCTTTCTTACGGTCACTTATTCTGTCCTTTCTCCTTGACTTGTCTGCTGTCCGGGACCGAGATCTGTTTCCATTCTTCTCCTTTGACCTGACATGTGAGTCTCCATTGCTCTGAGAACCTATCGGTGACTTCTTCCTGCTCCGGTCATTGCTCCGGCTTCTGGTCCTCCTGCTCCTCTTCCTCCTGGACCTAGATCTAGACCTGGACCTAGATCTTCCCATTCTGATTCTAAAATAAAAAATATCACAGCCATGACGAAGAAAAAGGAAAGGTTTACGATGTAAAGAAATCGTTGCACATTTTCATCAGTTAAAGAGAAGACTAGAAGTAAAAGAAAAAGTGAAAAACAAATTTGAATTAAATAAATCCATCTTATTCTCAAAGTGGGTTTTAAAATCGTTTCCGCATCCAAAAAAAATATCACAAGAATAATTTGACTTCAATCTCTCCAGACAACATCGACCTCGTCAGTCCTGTATCTCTGGGTGATCCCCGTTTCCTCCCAGTCTGTTCTTACTCCAGCCTTGTACATCTCCCAACCAGCCTGGATACGTTTTTCAATCAATTAACCGATCAATCAATCAAATTAATAATTTATTCAATTAATCAAATTAATTATTTATTCAATCTATCATTTAATTAATTGTTTTACCAATTAATAGATCAAACAATGAGAAAATGAATCATTAATCAATCCTTCAACTTAGTAATAACAATCTTTACAAGACAATATAAAAGATAACGTATTAGCTAAAATAACAGCCAACCAATCAACCAATCAACTGACACACCCAATAAGCCAATTAGTTGTAATCTCAACTGACTTCTTATTATGAGTTGATTTAGTTTTTTGTTTTTTGAGGTCTGCGGTGGGTCGGATGGTCAGAATTTAGGTTTTAATACATTCTTTGTGGAATGATAAACAGAAATAGTTATTCATATTGCACTTTATTCATAATTAAGGTTTAAATGAGACCTGGGCAATCATAGCTCCATTGTCGATACAAAATCTCATATCTGTAGCATACAGTTTACCTCCTCGTTCCTCACACATTACACCCATCATCTCCTTTTAACAAAAAAAAATAGTTTAAGGGGTGTAACACTAGGATTTAGGTTCACAGTGCGATACAGTTGTTGGGCCTTTTCTTTTTATCGATAAGGTTTGTGCCAAAACAATAAGTGAAATATGTGATTTTATTAAATTTTAGTGCGCTTGTCTTTATAAAGGATAGTTTTATTTCTAGATATCACAAGCTTCCAGACAAAGCAGACATAAAAGAGAGTTAACTATAATTTCCTTTTCATTTAAATTGGAAAAATCATTCTAGAAATCTCCTTTGTTTTTCAAAAAAAATCCAGGCACCCATTTTATTTTATGATATGTAGCGCGTACAAGGAAATTAAGCACGAAGTGAAAAATGCAGGATGAAGTGCAAAAAATAATTCATAAAATCATTTTTTAATCCTTAATTTAGAAAAGCTGAAAAAATATTTATAAAACAGTTTTTACCTGAAGTCTGAGATTACAACCTACTCCACCAACAATTAAAACTTCTCTGAAAAATCAAAATAAATTAATAAAATTTAAATTAAAAAATTAAAAGCAGCGTAATTTTTGAACACTTGTATTAACAGTTGACAGAATCGTTAATAAAGAATAAAGATAGACTAATATTACACCAATAAGATCAAATCATCAGAAGTCACGTTAAAGTATAGGTAACAATATGCGAACAGTAAATAATTTCCTAATTGTTTTTTTTTAATAGTTGTAAATAAACTCCAGCAATAAATAAAATGTACCTTGAACCACAGTGAGCCATAGCTCTCTCTGTAGTTTCTATCAGCATAGCAAATATTGTTTCCTGAATAGTTCAACCTAGAGATTTCAATAATACAAGACATTCGAATTTTTTGATGGTTTATTCGCTCAATTGGGGAAAATAAATCGACGAATTTTTCACTAAAAAGTACCACAAAATATGAAAAGTGTTGGCTTCTAATCTACAATTTTTTTTTCTTTCTTGAAGATTAATTAAGAGACCTTGGAGATAAAATATAAGATCATGGATATTAAATACAAGATGTTGGAGATTAAATACAAACCATAAATATTAAATACAATAAAATGTAAAAGCATAAATATTAAATACAAGACCTTGGAGATTGAATATAAAATCATGGACATTAAATACAAAACATTGGAGATTAAATACACGAACTTGGAGGTAAAATATAAGAACTTGGAGATGAAATAAGTATCCCGAAATGGAGATTGAATGACGAGAGCTTGGAGATTAAATAGAAGGAAATGATATTAGACCATTATATGATATATCTCTGTAGGTTTCCTGTAAAGAGAAGCAAAGATCCCCTTTTGTATATTCTCCACTAGCGACAAGCTTATCCGCTTTCTCCTGCAATAACAATCAATCAATCAAAGTTTTTAAGCACCGTTCAGGATTATTAATCAATCAATCAACCAACCATATTATAATCAATCTGAATAATGTGTAACAGTTATCTTATAACTAAAAAATATTCCAAACTTAAATATTTGATTTTCAGGCGGACCAAATCTAATTTTTCCCTGATAATAGAATACTGTTAATTTTACCTCAAGGAAGCTGAGAATTCCTGAAAAGGAAACATCCATTCCTAGAAATAACAGAAACTAAATCCAAAAAATCAAACAGATTATATCTATTCAAATCAAGAATTAAAATCAGGAGAACAAAAAGTACAAAACTAGTCTAATAGTGCATTGAACTCATAGGCGTGCCGTCTATAAAAACAATTTCTTTTCCACTAATGCAAAGAAGAATTTATTTTCTTTACAAATTAACCTCTTTCTCCTTAAAATAATTTGTCTCCCCACTTTTTAAGGCATAGAAATATCTTAATTAGTTGTTATTGCTAAATAAGAGAAAGGAAATTATTCTGAGGGAATTCTCCCCTCCCCCCCGGGGTCGCGGCCGATTGAATTTTGTCTTGGGGGGTTGAAAAACAGTTTTAATNCCCCTCCCAATAAATAATGCCATCAAATGAAACTAACAATAAAAAGATAATCCGTATTTTAACAGAATTTTTTTAAATTGATTGATAAATTAAGCTTTATTGTTAAAATATTTACCTTTAACAACATAAGGGAGCTGAAGAAATTTATTTCCCTCCTTGGCAGTCTGTTCTATATTATACCCTGGGCTAGGATCATTAGACAGCTGGAGAACACGGGCAAACCGGTCTAAACAGTTACCGATCGCTATATCAATCGTCTCGCCGAAAATTCTGAGAAAGTTTGTATTCATTTTTCATTTATAATTTTCAACTTCTAAATTAAAGCAATTATTTTACAAAAATAAATATGAATTTCTGTGAAGAAAAAAATGCGACAAAATACATTTTTGTAAAGCTCAAGCGAATTATTTGTTAAAATGAATCTTAATGAATTACAATCCTGTATTTTTTCTCTGCGTACGCAATAACCTGCGTATTGCCGCCACTGACGTACAGTACAGTTGGGTTGGCGGCACCTGTTATTAACCTTCCCATCTCTATATGCCCGATACAGTGGTTCACACCTAGAATATCATATTTCATATTACTAAAATTTTGCAGAATTCAAGAATGAGCATAAAATTAAAGTCAATTAAAGTTAAGCTTGCAGTTTGTAATTTTAAATAACTGTTTTCGATAATTATTCCTTTAAATAAAAAATTTCCCCCGACGGCATAAAGACCAATGCTTGTGACATAGAGACATGGAGACAAAAAAGACAATTGAAAATAAACTTCCGCCCATGAACGTTTAGCATTCTTACAATTTAATCAGCATTAAAACTTTAAAAAATATAGACGTATACATGTTTATACGTCTGTATTTTAACTTTGAAAAATCTAGGAGACTTCCCCTTCATATATTTCTATCATCGACTTTACCCAGAATAGGTTTGTTCCAAAGTTTCGAAATAGTTCTAGCTACCACAGCTACACTAGCCAGTGGGGCTCCCATTCCAGGTCCCTGAAATATTTATTCAGATCATTTTGATATACAAAGTACATGTCTCTAGTGTATGTATACACTTTAGTGGAACTTCAAGTTCTATGGGGTATTTTTTATTCTGTAATTCTCTTTTATTCTTAACCAAATTTTTAACTCATCATCTGTATTTTTTGTGGTAATCATGGAACACTGTACTTACATCGTAGTGTCTACACTCTTAAAGCAATCAATCAAACATATTATATTTAAAAATTCAAAACATTGAGGTATTTTTATCCATCTTAAAAATAGTAGAAGGATGGCAAAATTATGAAAAAAACAGGATTTTTAAAGTAGGGTTTCGTTTCAAGGAGGGAACGAGCTCTATAGCGGTAAACGTTGAATTTATTCATTAGATTATGATTAAGGGTTTTCTTTCTGAACAAGGTTATTACAATGACTATTGAACTTTAATTACTAAGAACCTTGGTATATGCGATTCCATCAATTTGGTTTGGTTTGAGTCCAGCTTGATCCAACGCCTCCCTGTTTTTATTCATTTTTCATTTATAAAAATGTGACTTTTATCTTGAAGACAAATGATTAATAGTGCTTTTGTTATTTTTATCTTTATTTGTTTAAGTAACTAGAAATGAATAAATGACAGAAAAATAAAGAATAAAGGAAACGCTAATTTAAAAAATATACAAAAATTTAACTAAGAATTTTTTATAATCGTACCGAAACACGTCAAAGTAAAATTTAATAATCCAAAAATAATTCTGAAAAAAAACTATTTTCCTGAGAACAATAAGAACCTGTTCCCTGTCAATTTTATTATTATTTACATTCAGAAAAATGTTATCTGGAGTTTCCATATTGGTGTAACCCTTGAACCTTGGTCAATGATGGCAATATTTTCGTCATATTCTTGCAGCAATGAATTTCGTAGATTTCCAAAAGCAACAGACAAGCAAAAAAATTGCCGAAATTTGCCAATTTTCAAATGGAAATTAATAACAAGATCTACGCTGGTGTTTCTCATGTGAAATTTTTGCTGCAAATTTGTGACTTGAATTACTACAAGATTTAAGATTCTACAAAAGTAAATAATAATTTTCCTGTGATGTTTAGCCGTATCTCTGGGTAGGAATCCTTGCCCTGGTGGAGTTATATAGGTTCGACGAGGATTAGATAAAACCTAATAACAAAACAAAAATAATTGTTGTTTAATATGAAAAAAATGCGTAAAATTTGACATAGTTGCGTTAAATTCTAAATAAGTTTTAAATAGCCCGTTAAATATATTTAACAAATATACAAACGTTCTTTGCTGTTATATAGGCAATACTTACAGTTGGATATTTTATTAAGAATGAGGAAAGGGGGAAAATTGCGGAACGCCCCCCCTCCTTCCCCATCGTAAAGCAAGAAAATGGTGTCTTACCTCTCCATCACGAATTATCCCAATGCCAATTTTGTTCGCGCTTCCCTCGAGTCCAATTATTACAACCATCTTTAATCTACTGGACAATCAGATCAATTTAAACATATTAGGAAAATCGAGCGGTTGATAAAAAGGACACTTAAATCTGATTCTCCTAAATATTTACATCTTTAACAAAATTTTGGCTTGTTATTGATTGATAAACTTTTATTTCTATACGCACTTTAGGCAGGCGTCGTAAATGTTTCGGCTTGTTATTTGTTAGGATGTTTAGCGTTTTTTCATGTTGCCGCATGCTCCTGGATGCCGCGTACATTTATAAATATTCCTCCTGGGCTGTATGTTTATGCGGATACTCAGCTGGATAAACAAAATCGCTTTTATGGAAGAAATAATAATACTTTAAAAATGTTCATAATTTTATGGATTTTTATTTACATAGCTGGATAACTTCTGTAGAAGATTTGCTTGAAACATCTTTTTTGCAGCTTTAAAATGAAAGCTGCGGAAAAGGTGATCAACTGATTTAAGCTGTTTACTGTTTATAGTCATCAAAACAACATGCCAACATTTCAAGTAATCAACTTTTGTGCAGTCTTGAGTTTATTGGGGAAATTGGGGGGAGTTTTGGGGCAACTTTAGGCGTTATTCTTATTAGTCAACCAGTCATATTACAGAAATGTGACATTTATAAGTGGAGATCAAAAATATATGGTAATTTCTCAGAGAATGAATTTTGCCCCCTCCCCCTCCTCTTATCAATTTTGTATATGAATCTCAAATTGAACATATGTGTAAAGTTTGTCATGTGGCCGCAGCGCCTGGCCCCCTAGCCTGTCCTAGCCGCGGCGCTTGGCCCCCTAGTTTGTCATATCCATATTATATTTATTGTATTTTGTTTCAGAGAGTTTAAAGTTGTGCAACGATGAATAGGAAAAAGGTTCTCTTGATGGGTAAATCAGGTTCAGGGAAAACAAGTATGAGGTGAATTAATTTACTAAGATGACATCAGAATTGTTCAAATTTTAAAAGTAATTAGCTGTAATGCCTGGCTTCGCCCAAAACTAATCGTGAAGANAGCGAATTTGGCCCAGCTGTTTGGCCAGCTATAGCTATCACATAAATATCCCTCCCTCCCTTTTATCAATTTTGTATATGCATCTTAAAGGTATCGCTACGTACAGTTAGATGAGCCGCATTACTGCCCGACCCTTAATCTGTCATACCCACAGCCCAGGCGCTCGGTCCTTTAGTCTGTCTTAGCCGCGGTGCCGGTCCTACCTTCAGCGCTCGGCCCTCTAGTCATAGATCCAGCTGAAGACTCAAATCCATAATCGTTTAAACCTGAACCTAAATTACTAAATGTAGAAGATTTCTTAATATATACCCATTAATCATGATAATTATCACTATATAGTAAGAAAAAGTTTGTGTTTAAATTCATTTTTTTATTTTTTATTTCTCTAAAAATTTCTCTCACAAATTGTGGTCTAACTGGATGACGTGCAACTTCATTTTGTTGAAAAGAAAAATACCAGCTACAGCAAATGAAAAATCAAAAGGTTTTAAAAGTCTTAAAACTTTTAAATATTTAAGTTTCAAATACTTTAACCCATTAATCGAATTTCAACATTTTCTCATCCTTAAATATGGTCTTTCCTATGTATCATCAAAAGTCAAAAGCTACGCCTAAGTCAATACATGGCTCTCACGCAACTAGGCTTCACATAATCTGTCTTGTTTAAAACATCTCTTGTTAACATCTAAAAAACGAGATAAAAATTGGTTACTTACTTTACTGGCGAATCGCCCCGTTTTCTGGTTTTTTGGTATTTTGTTTTCTGTTTACCTTCATAGTTTTTGTTCCTACGATTTCTTTTTGGTCGTCTATTACTGAATTTACTTTACTGAAATTACTTTACTGAATTCAAAATGTGTCATTTATCAATACTTACGATTATATTTTATAAATAGATGATGCTCTATGCAAAACTTATAAAATCAGAATGTACATGTTTCTGATATATATATTTAGTTTATTTTTATTGTGTATGTGCTTTTTGAACAATAAATAGATTTGAATAATAATAATTTATATTTAGGTCTATTATATTTGCAAACTATATTGCACGCGATACTAAACGTCTCGGAGCAACTATTGAAGTCGAACACTCGCATGTCAGGTATATTTTAGAAGACTTAAAGGGACTGTAGTCTACCATTCATTTCGGAGTAGCATGTTCTACTAACAACTGTCCCCGGAAACCTTTATTTAAGCAATTAAGAGGAATTAAGAGGAAGGATATCATCGTTGAAACTTGTCGAATTCTGATAATTTCCTTTCTTTTATATGGGGCACAAATTTGAGATAATTATTTTATACAGAAATCGTATTTTGAAAATAATCAATTTTTAGCTAGAGCTGTGAAGATATATCATTCATCTTTGGTTTAAAGGGGGTGCCGTTGTGAATCTGACTACTAGTCTATAAATGAAGGGTCCATAACATGCAAGTTTTTCATTTTGTAATCGGCTAATCTATTCTATCATAATAAGATTGTCGTGCGGCTGCATGTACCACTATTTATCAAAATAGCTTTTATTTTGATTGCGAAGCCCATTCCAATTTTTTCTTAACTTTTGTGCACTGTGCAGCGCAGTATAATTTTGATATTCTAGTTTATTAAGCAACCTTTTTTTATAATCGTTAGTTTCTTTAATTTTATTACTTACTGGGCACTGTAGTTTTCACCGCTCTTGTATGTTTGGTCAACTTTTTTACTATGTACAGATTTTTGTTCATTAGATTATGATTAAGGGTTTTCTTTCTGAACAAGGTTATTACAATGACTATTGAACTTTAATTACTAAGAACCTTGGTATATGCGATTCCATCAATTTGGTTTGGTTTGAGTCCAGCTTGATCCAACGCCTCCCTGTTTTTATTCATTTTTCATTTATAAAAATGTGACTTTTATCTTGAAGACAAATGATTAATAGTGCTTTTGTTATTTTTATCTTTATTTGTTTAAGTAACTAGAAATGAATAAATGACAGAAAAATAAAGAATAAAGGAAACGCTAATTTAAAAAATATACAAAAATTTAACTAAGAATTTTTTATAATCGTACCGAAACACGTCAAAGTAAAATTTAATAATCCAAAAATAATTCTGAAAAAAAACTATTTTCCTGAGAACAATAAGAACCTGTTCCCTGTCAATTTTATTATTATTTACATTCAGAAAAATGTTATCTGGAGTTTCCATATTGGTGTAACCCTTGAACCTTGGTCAATGATGGCAATATTTTCGTCATATTCTTGCAGCAATGAATAAGGTACATTTCCAAAAGCAACAGACAAGCAAAAAAATTGCCGAAATTTGCCAATTTTCCAATAAAAATTAATAACAAGATCTACGCTGGTGTTTCTCATGTGAAATTTTTGCTGCAAATTTGTGACTTGAATTACTACAAGATTTAAGATTCTACAAAAGTAAATAATAATTTTCCTGTGATGTTTAGCCGTATCTCTGGGTAGGAATCCTTGCCCTGGTGGAGTTATATAGGTTCGACGAGGATTAGATAAAACCTAATAACAAAACAAAAATAATTGTTGTTTAATATGAAAAAAATGCGTAAAATTTGACATAGTTGCGTTAAATTCTAAATAAGTTTTAAATAGCCCGTTAAATATATTTAACAAATATACAAACGTTCTTTGCTGTTATATAGGCAATACTTACAGTTGGATATTTTATTACCATAATTTTCTCTATTAGGATTGTTGGACACCCTATTTTCTCTTTTTAGATTGTTGGACACCCTATTTTCTCTTTTAAGGTTGCTCGACACCCTTTTTTCTCTTTTTAGATTGTTGGACACCCTGTTTTCTCTTTTAAGGTTGCTCGACACCCTGTTTTCTCTTAGATTGTTGGACACCCTGTTTTCTCTTTTTAGATTGTTGTACACCATAATTTTCTCTTTTAAGGTTGCTCGACACCCTATTTTCTCTTTTTAGATTGTTGAACACCCTATTTTTCACTACTTAGATTGTTGGACACCCTATTTTCTCTTTTTAGATTGTTGAACACCCTATTTTTCACTACTTAGATTGTTGGGACACCTTATTTTCTCTTTTCAGATTGCTGGGCACCCTAGTATTGAATCTGTGGGATTGTGGTGGCCAGGAATCCTTTATGGAGAACTACTACAGATCTCAAAGAGAGAATATATTCAGAAACGTTGAGGTTAGTTAAACCGCCAATAGGGCAGGTGACATGTTTTCCCCCAAATCCTGGAGAATCGGGAAGATTATACAGGGTGCGTGCGGTATTAGGGACAAAATTAAAATCACTCTGAAAACAAAAGTTCAAATAAAAGATATTTTTTATCATACATATCTCTGCATATTATTTTAGGGTCAGTTCACAGATTGATAGGTTGGGATTAAGGTCGCAAGGTTAACGGTCAACTTGTTGCAGTTAAGGTCAAATGGTAACTTTAAGTTTATGAAGTCCTCATTTCAGGACAAAGATCAGTTTAAAGGTTTAGTTAGCGGCCAACGGTAAGTTTAAGGTCACATGGCCAGGTTAAAGGATTTACTAGGAGTCAAAGCAAAGTATTTTTAAGGTCCATTTAGCGTTAATCTGTTTAAGTACATTTTTTAGTTTAAAATTGTTCAGTTTGATTATACGTTTTTACGAAAAATAGGAAAAATTTTATAAAACTTTTTAAACTAAAAATAGAATTAATATTTAGGTTTTGATCTACGTGTTTGATGTGGAGTCACGTGAACTAGAGAAGGATGTTCACTATTATCAATCTTGTCTTGAAGCAATACTTCAGAACAGTCCAGAGGTACATAAACTGTACATTATCAATACATTATACTGTACAGTGTGCATTGTGCAATGTTTACCATATGCATTGTACACTGTACAGTTACTATAAAAATTAAAATAATTAAAATATTTGTTTTTAGGCTAAAATCTTCTGTTTGATTCATAAAATGGACTTAATAGAGGTAACTTCACGCTAAAAAAACTTCTACTATTTTTACAATCTTATATTTTTGGGAAATATCGGAACAGAAGAGGAGATTTTATCATATATTTTTGGATTGGGGTTTTAAATATTTTAAGGAATTATCCAGCTTCTGTTTGGGTTGTGGGAAATAATTCACGAAAATTTTTAGGAAAATCAAAGATTGGAAATCATTTAGCAATACCATCTCCCCCTTTTTTCATACATTTTTTGTTTTTAAAAAAACTTTAATTATTTTTTTTAACAAAAAAGAGGTTTCACAAAAAAATCTGAATAGTTTCACAAATTTTTAAATTATTTATTCTTAACATTGGTTTTTCTTATACTATGACAAATTTTAAATCTTAAAGATATATATGCAAAAAGCAAAACAAAAACGATCGTTTATATTGTTTCAGTTTAATAAAAGAAAACTTTAACAGAATAAAGTTTTGAAATTTCGGAAGTATTTTTGTTTTGCCTTTTAGAACCTAAAAATACGAATGCCTCATCATTATGAATGGGTGATTTTTCAATAAATATTGATTGCAGGAGGAGCACCGAGATAATATATTTTTCAATAAATATTGATTGCAGGAGGAGCACCGATATAATTTATTTTTCAATAAGTATTAATTGCAGGAGGAGCACCGAGATAATATATTTTTCAATAAATATTGATTGCAGGAGGAGCACCGAGATAATATATTTTTCAATAAATATTGATTGCAGGAGGAGCACCGAGATAATATATTTGCCGAGAGGGCGGAAGATCTGAAGAAACTGTCTAAACCCCTGGATTGTACTTGCTACAAGTAGGGAAACTACTAAAGGGATTGTAAACGTAATTTCAAGTCACCCTCCATTGATAACCTTCTAATAACCTTTTAATAACCTTCTAATAACCTTCTAATAACCTTCTAATAACCTTCTGATTTCCATCTTTTTCCCCTAAATATTTTATTTCAATGTTTAATGATAAAGTATGGATAGATAGAAAGAAGTACCGATCCATGCATTATTTTTCTCTTTTTTCTTGATCACTAATCTGTAAGGGGTTGTCTATATCCTATTCACAACAGTACACTTTGAACCTTATCTCATCAATAACGTGATTGATGATTGTTGTTTTTCTAGTTTATAAGTTTTAAATTCTGCCAACTTCCTTTATTGTTTCTGTTTCTTCAAAATCAGCAAGTCACTTTTATTAAGAAAAATAATAAATTTTAAAAGTTTAAGACTTGGATATATCATTTATTCTTGATTGTGCAAGGCTTTATTGGGTACCGTTGTGAATTGGACACACACTTTAAAGGGAATGACCGGCAATGTATGGTGGTTGAAGAGAGTATTCAGTATTGTGGACAAATTTTTTAGGATTCATTTGGACACATAAAACGTTTCTACGACGTATAATTACTGAGTTTGAGCGCAAAGTCGACTTTCAAAATAATGAATTTGGGTGGGTAAGTTTTCAGAATCGGTTTTTTTAATTATTAAATAACGACGACAATAATGTAAACAAATTAGATGTTTCAGGAACAATTTGAGAAAATAAAGATTAATCTTATTATCAAAACAAGTAATCTTATTAAATTATCAGTTTCTATTTTCTCTCATTATTCACAAAGATTTTCTGTAGATTTTCAGGAATTTTTATTGTAAAAACGACATTTGAAGAATTTGTAAAAAATCTGCAAACAAATTCATAGAAAACTAGAAATTCAATATAATGATGAAAACGAAATAATTGATTCTAACATTGATTTATTGACAAATTTCTTTTGAGAAATATGTTCCTAAACATCTAATTAGTTTACTATATAATTTTTACTTTATTTTCATTGTCGTCATTTAATAATTAAAAAAAAAACGATTCTGAAAACGTACCCACCCAAACTCGTGATTTTAATTAAATTAAACATCGTGGAAACTTTTTATTAGTCTCAAATGAATCCTAAAAAATGTGTGTACAATACTGCATACTCAGTTCAACCACCAGACATTGCCGGTCACTCCCTTTAAAGAAAGGGTCACTGAAATTATGTCTACAGTCCCTTTAATATGATGATATTTATTATAGGACGAGTATTTGGGATGAGACACTATATAAAGCTTGGTCTTCCATTGTATACATGCTTATACCAAACGTTCAGGTGAAAAATTTTCCAATCTCAAAATAAGATTAAAATTATTTTATAAATTTATCTCGGTGGGTGTGAAACAGTTAAATGTTTGACCTGAAAGTACTGTAAACTGTACATTTGCGTAAGGATAGTATTAGCTGTACAAACTCCTCAATAACTGTACAGGAGGTAAAAACAAACAAGAATCCTGTACAAACTGCACATGTGTTGTTGTACTGATTACTGTTAATTAACTGCTAATTAACTGTACAGGAGATAGAGACAAGCCTACATGAGTTTGCTGAGATCCAGGACGCAGACGAGGTTCTTCTATTCGAGAGAGCAACATTTCTTGGTAAATCATGGGATCATATTCATTGGAACAAACCCCCTCCCCTCACCTAGGACAACTTTTGATGCTCGCGGAGGGGGGAGGAAATTTGACATCAAAAAGCACGTTTTTTTTCTATTTGATACTTTTTACACACNATTCTTTACAAAATATGCACCCCCCTATGGTGGATTAGGAGCAGGGGTAAGGGGCCAGGGAGTAAGGAATAGAAGGGAGATATAACTGACGCGGCTCGCCCTACCATATGATTATGCGTGCTTTGCAGACGGTACTCCATTTGTATTAGAAATATTCAAAATAGGTTATTGTATAGGCGGTAATTGTCGATCAGACAAATATTTCTTATACAAATGGAGTACCCGTCTGCAAAGCATATATAATCATATGGTAGGGCGAACCGCGTCAGTTATATTCCTTACTCCCTGCAAGGGACCGTTAGGGACTGTTGGTGCAATGTTAAGAACCAAGTTTCCGATTAAGAACGGTACACTTATCCAATTAACATTAAAGCAGATTCGAAAAAAGACTAATTAATAATTATGTCTTTTGCTTTCTTTCTCCCAGTTGGCAAAATATCCGTTAGTGACATTTTTAGAGAAACCGCAATTAAAATTTTAAGATGGAAAAACGAGGTTATATCATTTCTTCGTAGCCCGAGTTTAAAGGATATCGTTGAGAATAGCGTTGCATTAGATAAAATGTTAATTCTTGGGTCAATATCTCATCCTGCAGTGCTTTTTTGGACAATATCTCATCCTGCAGTGCTCTTTTGGACAATATCTCATCCTGCAGTGCTCTTTTGGACAATATCTCATCCTGCAGTGCTTTTTTGGCTCTTCTTTTTTTTCTCTCATTCAAAAAAAAAATTCTTGAACCAATGACAGAATAAAAACCAANATACTTACATTTGGATTAGTAATCTTTTTTTGTACTTTTAAAAAGGAAACTATTTAAATGAATTTTTTGTAAAGCTTCTTGTTTTGCTTCCTCGCTTTTAGAGGGTTGCCTTAACATTTAAAATTTTCTTTACAAGATACGAAACAAACTTGTGTCCTATCTATCTGTCTGCATATTTATCAATCTTTTTTGTTTTCTATTTATAGTCTTGTATAATCTTGTATATGTAGTCTCTTGTATATATATATTTGTATTGAGGCATCCATCTGTATATATTTAATCTATATCTAATGTTGAATTCCAAGTTTACAATAGTGCGCGTTATGAGATGATGTCAAATCAGTAAAAGAAATCAAATTATCTTTTTAACATTTTATAAACAAATTGTTTTATGCATTCCTTGATGCAATCTTCACTTTTAATTTTAATTTATTTTTTGAATTTTTTTTTACCGTTGCAGTTTGGTGGATTTATGATGGTCACATTTCAAATCTGTAAATGTAAAATTATCTATCTATTTATATCTATATGTCTATCTACCTAAAGATCGCTCATATATATTGTTATCTCTCCATCTATTTATCCTTCTATCTTTCCATCTACCAATCTATCTATTTAGTTATCTCTCACGCACAGCGTCATCAGCATCGAGATGTTCACAGGTTCGAGAAGATTTCGAACATTATCAAACAGTTCAAACTCAGCTGTTCGAAACTAGCCGCACATTTCGAGGCCATGGAGGTAATCACATATTTACAGGGAAACCCATAAAACCAAGGTTATAATCCATCTTTCACATAAATAATCAATAAAATATTCTGGTCATAGGAAACTATTGTGTGAATTATCAAAATTATCAAAAATTAATGCTTTTAACCTCCTCGAATCCTGAACGAACACTGATGCATCTATTCTTGTTTACAAATTCCGCCCAGAGAGGACTGGTTTCAATATGTACGCAGAGTATACGCAACTGCAANGAACACTGATGCATCTATTCTTGTTTACAAATTCCGCCCAGAGAGGACTGGTTTCAATATGTACGCAGAGTATACGCAACTGCAATTAATTTTCCTTGCATTATTACCTTTCATAAAACTATGGAATAGGTAGGTGACTAATATTAGACTCATGTTACCGACTATAAATATTGTCCAATGAACATGAAACACGAGAACTGTGAAGTGTACACAGAACCATGTAACGTCAGTACATAAAACCATTTCATTTAATAAGTTGATTTGAACATATTCTTCCTATTCGTCAGTTATCTAAAATATATTTCCATGTAGATTAAAATACCCGCATAGAACAAACGACCCTGTTTTAGAGTCTGAAAACGACCCGCACGACCCCAAAAACTGGCGCCGGTCCGACTCTGTTTTAGTACTAATAAAAGAGTCGTTTTTAGACCGAAAAGACCCTGANTAGATTAAAATATATTCCCATGTAGATTGAAATATATTCCCATGTAGATTGAAATATATTCCCTTGTAGATTGAAATTAATCCCATGTAAATTGAAATATACTCCAATGTAGATTGAAATATATTCCCATGTAGATTGAAATATATTCCCATGTAGATTGAAATATATTCCCATGTAGATTAGAAGTTGTTTGGTTGAAAAAAAAGACCGTTATTGAATTTCTTATATTTTGGGTTTAGATTTTAAAACTTAAAAGTTACGAGGTCGCCAAGTTGCGCTATTAATTCTGAAAACTCTTATATTATATTTATTGAATATTATTTAATTTCTATAAATAAAAGATTTTAATTTAATGTGAAAGAAACATAATTGATTTTTAGGTTCGAAATTCTAACTTTGCTGCGTTCATTGATGTGTTTACACCCAACACCTACATCATGGTCATATCTTCAGATAGCCAGGTTAAATAGTTCACTATAATACATTGATGTGTTTACACCCAACACCTACATCATGGTCATATCTTCAGATAGTCAGGTTAAATAGTTCTCTATAGTACATTGATGTATTTACACCCAACACATATATCATGGTCATATCTTCAGATAGCCAGGTTAAATAGTTCTCTTTAATACATTGATGTGTATACACCTAACACCTATGGTCATATCTTCAGATAGTCAGGTTAAATATTCTCTTTAATACATTGATGTGTTTACACCCAACACATATATCATGGTCATATCTTCAGATAGTCAGGTTAAATATTCTCTTTAATACATTGATGTGTTTACACCTAACACCTATATCATGGTCATATCTTCAGATAGTCAGGTAAATAGTTCTCTTTAATACAACAAGTGATAAATATTTTCTATTTTCATGCTGACACTTATCCTAAATTCTTCTTGTAAAACAAATTTCTGTAAAATTTTATGAAGGTTAAAGGGACTGTAAGCGTACATTCAAGGGACCCTTTATGCAAAGATAACAATGCCCGATTCACAACGGTACCCTCGAAAGCATTGTCTGGTTAAGTACGAATTAGATATCAATGTTTNAACTAAACACTTTTCAAGCTAAAAAAGCGAGGTTATCTTCCACATTATTAACCAGATAAAGGTTTCAAGGGTACCCTTGTGAATCAAACATTGCCATCTCTGCAAGGAGAGTCACTTAAAATTATGATCACAGCGCCTTTAATAATAATTTATTAATAATGCCATTTGTTTTTTTGTGATTTAGTTGATATGGATCCGGATATTAAGCACTGATGAATCCTGCTTTTATCCTATTTAATTTTATATTTTGATTGCTAGATTCCTAGTGAAGCTATACTCATCAATATTCGGAACTCAAGGAAACATTTCGAAAGATTGGAGAAGGACAGTCAGATTCAGAATAGAGGAGCTCTCACATTCGGCAGATAAAAGGTTTATTCATTTATGCATTCATGCATTCATCCTTTCATTCATTCATTTATGCATTCATTCATTCATTCATGCATTCATCCACCCTTTCCGTCTTTAATTTATTCATTGATTTATTTATTTATTTATTCATTTTTTCATTTTTTTATTTTTTCATTTATTCATTCATTAATTAATCCTTTCATCCTTTTGTTCATTTGTTCATTTGTTCATATTTTTATTCAACTACAAAGCACAAGATAATATAAATAAAAAATCACAATTTACTATGTAGTTTGGACCCGCCTAACCAGAGTAGGTTGTTTTAATTGGTTGATAAATAAGGAAAAGGGTAAAGAGGTAGTGTAGCAGTATAAGGGAAAGGGAGGGTACACAGCGGAAGGGTTGGAACACAGGGTTAAGAAGACTAAGTTGATCCACATGGAACACAGTTTTTTCTTTTACAGATATAACTTGCACAACTATCTAAATAGTTCTCGGCGACTTTTCTTTTAAACGATTTCGCAGATTTAGTTTCTTTAAGCTCTAATTCAATCGAATTCCATAATTTTGGAAAAAACGCGGAGGGAAAACATTCTATCGTTTTAAAGAGAACCCGCTCAAGTTTATATGATTTGGTTCTATTTGGTTCAGCTAAAGAACTAAACATATCATGGAAGAAAGTTGGAAGGTTTCCATAAAAGTATTTATTCATAAAAGATAGAACACCTAGTTTATATGTATCATCAAGTTAGAAGTTCTAATCTGAACAATATTGAATCTGAATGCTTTTTTGCAAAGATTTGATTTTCTGTAGTTTAGCATTTTATATTTTATATTTTATTTTATATTTATTTTATGTTACAATTCCAAACTCAATATGTGGCCTAACAAGTGCATTATAAACAGTAGACGAATGGTAAAATGTTTTTAATCTGATTCAGAGCAAAAGTTAAGCTAGTAATCTTATTGGAAACGTTCAATTTGATAGTCCTAATTTAAGAATTCATAAATTTTGAGTCCAACAAATTTAAAGTATTTATTTGTACAGTCAGCTCCTATTCTTTCTAGAATCTCATTTCCAATTTTTAATTTGCAGTTCTTAGGATCAAAATGCATATTTTATTCCTAAATATCATAAACTTTGTTTTGGAGACATTTAATGTTAAACGGTTTGCCTGAAACCATGCAGCTGCCTTTTTTAGTTCAAAGTTCACATCAATTACTAAGTTTTCGATATTTGGAAATGATTTAAGAAAACTAGTGTCGTCAGCAAATAGATTAGTTAAAAAAGACATTGCTAAAGGCAAATCGTTTATGCATATGAGAAATAGTAGGGGCCCAACCCCAAGAACACTGTCCTGGGGAACACCACAAAAAATGTTTTTTCTTTAGAAAACATACCATTTATATATACATTTTGAGTCCTATTGACGAGGTAGTTTTGAAACCAGGTGGTAGCTACATTTTAAAATCTGTAGTACTTGAGGTTTTTTAAAGAATGTCTAAGTTACAATAGTCAAAAGCTTTCTTTAGATCTAAAAATATTCCCAGTGTAAATTCTGGTTCAGGTTTATTAAAATTTTTGTAAATTTTATTTTTTTAGTAATTGTTGATTAGTATTATGTTTTGGTCTAAATCCATATTGATATTGATAGAAAATCTCAAACTTGTTAAGATATTTAAATATATGTGTCGCAGTTTTTTTTCAAGAAGTTTACTTAGCGCTTGGACTTGGAGAATACTAATTGGTCTGTAGTTATTAAATTTATCTTTTTCTTCAGTTTTAAAAATAGGAATTATTTTTGCACATTTATAATCACTAGGGATATATCCTGTTTTAAAAGAAAGGTTAAACAAATGAGCTATAGGATAGACAATACTTTCAATTATTACCTTCAGTAGCTTGGTAGAAATATTCTCCTTACCCGAACTGTTTTTAGGTTTAAGTTTTCTCACTGTTTCAAGAATAATTTCTGGTGTAATATTTGCAAACACAAAATTTCTCTCGGATGGCTCACATAGATATTTTATCATCATTGAAAATTTCTTGTTCATTCTTTCATTCATTTCATATCACAAAGTCTAACCATAGTACAAGATTGAAATCATAGTTTCATTTCTTAAGACCAATTCTTAAAAGATGTATATTTTAAAGATATCGGAGCACTTAAACCGATTTTTAATGATTTTTTTTTTAGATTGAGAAAGTTCTGTGTGGTTGCCGGATAACGGAATTTTAAAACATGCTGCGGGGGACATCGTTATGCTTTATTTTATAATAATATTTTTATATATTTATCAGAAATATATCATTTGATATTTTCAGTATTTAGAGATAAATGAATCAGACTGACTCGGAATGACCTGGTGGATTTAAACGGAGGCTGATTTGGAATTACTTGGACAGACATGGAAGGAGGACATTGAATGACTTGGATCGGACACACTTGGAAAGACTTGGAAAGACTTGAACTGACTCAGAAGGAATTTAACTTGCTTGGGATAACTTTATATAACTGACTTGGACAAAATTAGTTTGACTTTGATTATCTTGACAGGTATTGGAATTTCTTTGAATCACCTGCCTAAATAATGACTTGAGTTACTTTTTCGACCGACTTGAAGACTTGAACAGACTTCACTAACTTAATTAACTAACTTGGCTTACTCTTTAGACCTATCTGAATTTTGTATGTCTGTGTGTCTGTATGCCTGTATGTATGTATGTATGTATTGTATGTATGTGTGTATGTATGTATGTATGATAGATATGAATTTGAGATTGTGAAGAAAATAAAAGTTTTTGTGGAATATTTAACACACCCATATATAGACGCTAGATATGAGGCTTCTCAGACAGTTCAATACTCGACCTACTGCGTACGGTCAAGGAATGCGTATTGCGTATTTTAGCAGTAAATTAATGTCCGAGCACTGTACGCAAACTATTAATAACTGATCTTATAAGGAATGTATGAAATATGTATACCTGTCTGAATAGGACAATTGATTTAATTACAAGGGATAAGTTATCTTTGCTATTAATTATGCAGGGATTAATCGTTGAAATTAAAAACACAATTTAACCTTCGAACCGTCATAGTTATTTCTATCTAAACTAGGGTGCGAAGACGACAATTATTCCGATTGATCTTGGTTATTTCTGTTTTTACCAACTTTGTGTATATCTGAACATGACACTGTAATCCACAGTTTGTTTACGCTCTCGCGTAAAAATCTATCAGAATTTTGCTAATGCTTTGTTTAAACTGAAGTATATAAACTAGCTGTTTGTAGTTCTAAAATGTGTATATCTATGGCTACAAAACTGTGTAGTAATCTACAACAACAATTTCTTGTCCGAGCCACCTCGAAATTCTCGTCCTTCCCACTGATAGAGATGCTTATTTGTAGAACATCGTCTATGGAGCATATTTATCTTTTTTTTTTATTTAAAAATTTAACATTTCATTTTTGTCCTAATGTCGCCAGATTTTCAAAATATATTTTTAACTGCAATGGTTGGACATTTAGAAAAAATAATATTGGAAGGATGAGGATTTTGAGGTGGCTAGGACGAGAAAATGAGAAGAATGTGGTTCGGAGGAGATATTGTTGTTAACTGTCGTTAACTAATTGCTTGAAAAATGCATGAACGTGCTAAGCCCTAGTAAGGATTAGGAATAGAGGCCAAGAAACTAATATCAAACATGAACTCAAAAATTACAAGGTCTTTAGTAAAATACTAAGATTTAAAAATAACTTCAGGATTTTCGTAAAAAAATTAAAAATTAGAGAAAAAAATTGCAGGATTAAGAGAAAAATACTTGCATAATTCTGAAGCAAAATCTGGAGTTCGATTTTGATTATGGAGCTGAAATTCGAAACTACAATCTTAGAATTTTGATTAAAATCACAATGGTCTAACTTAAAATAAAATCCTGGCCTCGGTGGTGTCAAAATAGACAAATATTCAAGTGTAATAGGCAGTGAACCTTCACTTTCATCCCCATTTTCACAAATTGCATAAAGATTTTTCGTATTTTCATAAAATACTATTTTGGGTCTTAGATTTTAGCTTACTAAAGCTGAACTTGACTTCAAAGACGATTGTACGAAATTCTTTAAGTCCGTTTTCTTGCATTCAGGATTCCCAGTAGGCCAAAACTGGCTTGTTTCTGTGCTTAATCATATAGTAAGCCATTAAAATACTCAATTGAATGCAGAAACTAAAAATTAAGCTTCAAATCGTCATATTTTTAGAGTTTTGGGTCGTCTTTACAGTCTAATCCTTTGTTTGTAACCCTGTATATAGGAAGATAGATTTGTAGATTGGTAAGTTAAGTAGGTAGGTACATACTAAATCGATAGGTAGGTTACTAGGTAGGTAGGTGAGTAGGGTGGTAGATGGGTAGGTGTGTAGGTATGTTGGGATGTAGTCGGTTTGTTGGTAGGTTGGCACCATTTAGTTATGTTAGGTTGGTAGGTACTAGGTAGATAGTTAGGTTGGTAGGTACTAGGTAGATAGCTAGGTAGGTAAAATTTGTCTTCTATAAATTGAGACTTTTTAAAACCGTTTATAAATATCAAACCAACCAAGATGGAAATGAAAAATCCGTAATGATCAGTTACCTCAGCCCTGGAAACAAACTTGTTCCAGTTTTTTTAAGAATATTCTATCACAAAGAAGATGAGGAGTATATAAAAATCCACAATGCTCTTTTGCAAGTTCTGCATCAAAAACTACCAATGCTGGTAAAAAATTCACAATTGAATACGTCCTCGCTACATAGGCTGCAAAAACGACCAAATACTAAACATTTCTGGTGGAAGAGCTGAGAAGTTACCTCCTTCTATGGTGAATTATCTGATAAATAATACCATACTAAAGAGAAAATTGTCCCAAAGACAAATGGCCCAATTTACAAATTTTAAAGACGTATGTTCACAAAAGCCCTTCCAAAGGATTATGTGAAATGCAGGAAGCAAAAATCATGTCCCAAGCTCACCCTGAGCTAATTCTGGAATAAGGACTTTAGGCACACACTTCTGCAATTGTTATGAATTATGATTCCTACTTTCCCTGACGGGGCATTAATGTAAAAAATGTTTCTGTACATTCCCAGTCTCCCATGAGACATAGGTAGATAGTTAGGTTGGTAGGTACTAGGTAGATAGTTAGGAAGGAAAAATCATGTCCCAAGCTCACCCTGAGCTAATTCTGGAATAAGGACTTTTTTCCTCGATTTTGGATCATCTGCAATTGTTATGAATTATGATTCCTACTTTCCCTGACGGGGCATTAATGTAAAAAATGTTTCTGTACATTCCCAGTCTCCCATGAGACTGCATTTGGAGGCTTGGAGCTTATGTTGTCAAAATCCAATCACTCTGAGAAGCTTTTGGTATCGCTTACCATTTCTACCAGTGGAATTTTCTGCTATGGAGACTGTTGAGAGTGTTGAAAACTAAGTTACTAAAAGTTAATTGCAACAACGATGTTTTACAGGAATCTGAAGAAAATGAAATCTAATCTAAATATGGATATTGACATGTATTTACAAATTCAACGGTGTAAATTTAAAATGGAGTGAGACAGAGCATATTGGACATTCTGTAGGAAGGTAGGTAAGTAAGTATATGGTATGCAGGGGTAAATTTTTTTGGCATAATCCCGTGCGAGAGCTAACTATGACAACTCCCATGGCGCGTTCAGACTTTTTACAGTACCCGGCCTAATCCTAGGTCTATTAGACCGACCCCACTGGCTTAGTCCACCGTAGTAGGTATGTTTTAGATAGGTATAGGTAGGGTAAGAAAAGGTAGGTTAAAAACACAGACAGATAGATAATCTTATTCTGTGATTTATTTGTTGATTCCAACCCTTAATTCAAGTTTTAGCACGTTCACATAAATTCCTTTCTCCCCCTCTTCAGTGAATTTATATGTTGACCGTTCAAATCAAAATAAAAAAAGTTTATTTCTAAGTTTATTTACAAGCTGTACACTGGTTAATCTATATTAAAACTAGTAGAAAATATATTAATGTTACACATTATTTATAAATTAAAGATTTTGCATTGATTTAGGGGCATCTTGCAACATCTGTGTTTTAATAGAGGTAGAAGATGGAGGAGGAGGCCGGAGATTAATGGGTGGGGGGGGG